GATCCTGTCACATTAACCCACATGTAGAATTTCACAGGTTTGTTGATACAAAATAGTATTGAAAATATTAGAAATTGTTAAATGTCTCTGAAAACTTTAGGAAACAGTTATTATAATACCAATCGAAATATTCTTTAATTTTCTATTTGATTTTGTTAAAACATACATTTACATTTATAATAAAAACGTTATTATTGTTTAAATTTGCCCAATTTCAAGTGGTTTTTTTCAAGCTATTTGTTAAAAAACCTTTAAAAATTAAATTATTTAAACAATGTTTTAATATTCCAAAAATTCCAACCCCATGTCAGAAAACCTAATCCTAATATAATATTGAATCTAAAATCTGTTATTTTCTTTGTTCGTATCAAAAACTTCCAAGCATTTTGTTTATATGTAAAATCAATTGATAAAACGATTTGACAAAGCAAATACTCTGTGTATTGCAGTGCATTGCTTGCATCGCTTTCCAGGGAAAGAGATAACAGTATTTCCAAGGCACATCCCGTAGGATTTCCAGCAAACCGTTTCTGTTTCATACAACACTTGTTAAGATATTCCGCGCAATAAACTAAAATAAAGTTTGGCAGTAATTCTCAGCGATGCGGCGCTACAATGGGAATTATTTTAATTAATTAGGATTACTTTGCATGGTATTAACATTTTCGTAAAATAATTTGGTCGATTTTGCGAAATAATGGGGAGTTTTTGCAATACGTTAAAGTCAAATTTTGTTGGCTCTCCTTCTGAATTGGGTAAATTTTTATTTTTCCAAGAACTATCAAATATAAATTGGGAATTCATAAGGCTTAGTAACTTAACTGTGATAGAAAAGTTTGAAAATTTTTTGGAAATTTTGATAGAATCTTACTTAAACTCGTTTCCGATCAAAAAGTATAAAAACAAAATAGGCCATACTTACAATCAGGACTGGTTTAACGAAAACTTAAAAAACATGAGAGATCGCTTACTGTTTTTAAGTGAACAAAGCAAACAAAATCCACACAGTGCTTATCTTAAATCTCAGAAACTAAAATACCGCAAACAATACCAAGACGCTATACGCAAAGAAAAAATCAAATGTAATGATAACCTTATAAAAAAATCTAATTCAAATATTAAAACAATGTGGGAAATTATTAATAATAATAGAAACAATAAAATTGTAGATTTGTCCTCTAATATATCACCCAATGAATTTAATTCATTTTTTGTGAATGTAGCCGAAAAACTTATAAACAACATAAAAACAGTAAATAAAACCAAACACAAAATAAACATAAATCCTAATTTAAGATTTAAATTTGCTCCAATAAATTTTAATACAATTAGAAATATTATACGAAACCTAAAAAACTCTAATACTAAAGATATTTTCGGCCTTAGTACAAATCTTATAAAGGGTATCTCAAGTATTATAATTGTACCGTTAACTAATCTTATAAATTTATGTATTGAAAATAGTGTATTTCCAAATGAATTAAAAAAGGCACTGGTTATACCAATTTTCAAAAAAGGAGACTCTAAGGACTTAAATAACTATAGGCCAATTTCACTATTACCCATAATCTCAAAAATATTTGAAAAAGTTCTTGCTCTTCAGATAACTGAATATTTCGAAACAAATAAACTTTTCTATAATAAACAGTTTGGGTTTAGAAAAAATAAAAACACTACCTTAGCAGTTCTCGAACTAGTTGACAAAATAATTGAATGCTTTGAAAAACAAGAACATTTAATTGCAACTTTTTGTGACTTATCGAAAGCCTTTGACTGCGTACCTCACGATGCCCTACTGCAAAAGCTGAGTGAATATAATTTTTCGACTGACTCAGTAGAGTTAATAAAGTCTTATTTGTCGGAGCGAGTCCAACAGGTGAGAGTAGATGGAGTGCTATCAGGGAGGAAGAAGGTTGTCTACGGAGTTCCTCAGGGCTCAGTCCTTGGACCACTTCTTTTTCTTATTTATGTGAATGAACTACCTATATACAACAATCTAGCTAACCATATACTTTTTGCCGATGACACAACGATTCTCGTGAGCGGAGGCGATTTGAGTGATCTAGTAGAGGCATCGCTGGGTGCGCAGTCAAGGGCTGCAACATGGTTTTGCGATAACAAACTTTGTTTAAACGAAACAAAGACGGTAAATGTCCTGTTCTCACTCTCTAGGGAAGGGCTTTTAAATTTCAACCCAACAACAAAATTTTTGGGTGTAGTAATTGATAATAAAATAAGTTGGAAAAATCATGTGGATGAGGTTGCAAAAAAGCTTAGTAAAAATATATATTTGTTACGAAATCTCTCAAAATCTGTATCACTTCCTGTATTAAAGACAGCATATTTTTCATTGTGTCATTCGTTACTGTCTTATGCAATATTAGTTTGGGGTCAGGCTGCAAACTGGCATCGAATATTTTCCTTACAGCGTAGAGCGGTAAGGATAGTATCCGAACTAAATTATCGCGAAGACTGTCGAAGTAAATTTTCTGAACTTAAAATTCTCACTTTTCCGTCCATTTTCATTTTTGAAACTTTGGTTTATACCAAGCTTAATTTGACAAAGTTTGAAAATAATAACTCCAACCATCTGCATAACACTAGAAGTCAAGATAACATAAGGTTGCCAGTTTGTAGACTAACCAAAACCCAAAAGACAATAAGTTATCTTGGACCCAAATATTATAATAAAGTGCCTAAATCTATAAAATCTATGGATTTAAACTCGTTTAAAACCACGATAAAAAAATACTTATACAAAAAGCCTTTTATTCTTTTGACGAATTTTTAAATGGAGAACCTTTTTAATATACTTGTTTGTTTTTAAGAATGTGCATGTATGAACTATATACTAATTTTCAATGTTTTATTTTGTGACCAATGTACTAAACTATTTCATTATTGTAGTTTTTATCATGTCCTTTGACTAGCAAATTTTATTATTTTTTAAGACATATGTAAATACTATCTGTATAATAACATGAATAAATTATTATTATTATTATTATTATTATTATTATTGTGCCATCCAACTTTTAAATTATGTTTGCTTTCTTTATTTGCATCAATTTCAAGCGTTGTGAGTTTAAATTTGTTGGGTATTATTGGCAAAATTGCTTTTATTTAATTACTTTACTTTTTATTCTTAAACTACATATGGGTGATTCTACAAAAGTTGGGCAACTTTTGAACTCATTTTGTTTATATAGTTTTCGGAGAAAAAAACAGTATTTTGTTATGAGAACATAGATAATATAATAAATATACTGTTCCAGACCGGGCCAGTCACTTTTTCAAACAGTTTCTGAAATATCTGTGTTTTCTAAATTTGAATGCAAGGGAAGTAACGAGTACACTAGGGTACTAATTAAATACATAATTTATTGGAAAATATAAGATTTATTGCAACTTTGAGATTATTATACAGTAAATATCTTAAAATCAAATAATACCACACAGCAGTGGCGGCTGGTGGATTTTGGGAATACCGATATCTCAATTATTAGATATGGGACCCATACCAAATTTATGAGTTTATAATGACATTAAATAAACAAGTTCTGCGCAAGTTGAATTTAAATTGAAGTTTGCGAAAAAAAGATAACCGAAACATCGAACATGGAACTGACGACACGGTACTGATGAAAGGGATACAAATTTGAGATTATAATTCGGAATTAAGTATTTTACTGATATTTTTTATAAGTGGATGCTACTTATCAACAAATCACATATAGCCTAATATAAAGTACAATTAAATATATATACGTAAGAAAATAACTACTCACCACAGTACTAAAATTTTGACTGGAACTATACGTGCATTCACCACAACTTCGCCGCTTGCATTGTTTTCAAGACTGTCGTGCAAAGGGCGGGCTTTGTAGGTAATTTTTTACCAACACTTGAATTAAAACGAGGACGACGTTTAAACTTCAATATTTCGCAGAAATTTTGAATTTTAACATTGGACACAGAACTGACGGGTAAAAGTGAGTACAAAGATTATCAATTGCTATTATTCGAATCTATGATTAAATATGAAAAATACATTAATTAATGTTTTATAGTTTGTAGTGAAATCGAAAATTTAAGATAATTTGAATATATTTTAAAATAAAATCACTCAAATATTTGATTCAGGAGTTGTGACACGCCAAGGTACTGACGTAAAATTGGGTGGGCAAATTAAAAAAACATGGATCTTTTGTAATAAGCTAAAATATTTACAAAAAATATTAAAATACTTACTCTATTGACTGATGAAATCAAGTTGTCCAACTTTTGTACAACCACCCATATATATTCTTAAACTAAAAATATTGTTCAAAAAGTTATACAAAGCTAATTGGGCCGATACAAACAAAAATATAAATTTTTACAACCGCTTTATTTTCCATGAAAATGCATTTTATTTCCTAGATTTAATCTATTTTAGAATGTTTTCTCTGCTATGTAAATAACACCTAGAAAATAATAAAAAGGTAATTTAACAATTTGCATGTATAGCACCGCTTAACTGGAAAATGCACTTTACTAAAGGTGCACTTTATTACACCCTACTTAAGGATTTTACGCACGTACAAAAATAATTACGATATCGCACCCTTGCTTATTAATTGTGATATTAATTTTAAGGATTTTATAATTAATTCTAAGAGCTTTTATAAGTTAAACCATTTAACTGTATAAATATAAGTATGAAGTAGAAAAAAGTTAATAGAAATGTTTTTTATCCCATTCTTCGTAAAATATTATCAACAGATTCCAATGATTGATTATAAGTGGTACATAAATATTTAATCTTCTTATTGAAAACAGCTTTTGAAATTTTATTATTATACTTATAAATCATTAATTTTGTTAAAATAATTTATTTTAATCTGTCAAAATTCAAAATAAAATATATAATAAATTATATTTATAAATTTATCAAGGGGTCTTTAAAAAACACATTTATATTGTATTTTTTGTGTTAATACTGTTTTCTTTTATTACAGGACTTTATCAGATAATAAATTGGAGTTTATTCATCCAAAAGCATTTGCAAGGAATATTTATTTAAAAAGATTGTAAGTATATTTTATGACTTCATAATTTAAACATATTTTACTGTTTTAAAACAGCGTTATAATTATATGGGTCATTTTCAAAATTCTTGTACATTTAATGAAGAAAAAGTAAAAACAAAAACATAATCTACAAACCTGTTTTTTTTTCAAATTTTGGTTATTTATGGGTGTTATTTAACACCTAAAAGTGGGCAGTTGGATTTTTTTAAATAAGACCTTAAAAAAGAAAAAAACTGACCCAGGGCACAAAAACTTAAATAAAAAGGCTTAATCATTTTGAAAATATTTTTTTGCTTGTTAATATTTATTTAAAAAAATAACATAAATTTATTATTTATTATAAGTACAAAACTAAGTAAAAGCAAAAACAGCATACTTTTTTGTATAGCATTTAATTTCCCATCGAAATATGTACATATTGTTTCATTAAATTTTATTTAAAAAAAAATTGTTAAATAAATATTCAGTAAAAGTAGTAATAACTCTTCTGTAATAAATTGATTTAATTCTATATCGACAACAAACAATTTTTCTTTTTTCAAAACTCTTAGAAAAAACTTTGACCTTTCCGTACAAATTGCCCAGTGGAAACATAAAGCTTGTGTAAGTCTGAGAACATCAACTTTTATGTTTTTTTTCGTAAATTTAATCTCGGAAAAAGGTTTTACATCTTCATATGAAAATCCATTGTGTTTTTCACCTAGGGCCTATAGGCAATCCCTAAAAGCCATAAATCATTGAAAACTACCATAAGTGAAACAGGAAGTCGAACAGGGTTTATCGAAATAATTTTGAAAAACAACAAAACAGATTTTGCTCTTTAATATTGAAATATATATGTATAGCATCCCTCGTACTGCTCGCATAGAGACCCACTGAACGGCTTAAATCGTCCCTTATCGTTGTCTATACACGAAATGGGCCATGGTCCGACCTGCATTTATAAACGTTGCTTGCTTATACAATGCTCCTCTACAAAAACATTCGTTCAAAGAGTTGAACTAAATTGTATATGGGATATTATCAAATTTTTTGTACATTTGCTGTCCTTCAACTTTATTTTTTTTATAAAAAATTGAATTTAAGGCCTCCTTTTTTTATATACCTCTTAATATACATCTTAATCTTTTAGTTTATACACACTCTACAAAAAAAAGTACCTCTAAAATCAGTCTATACCAGACATAAAAATGGCTTACCTGTTCCAAACATGAATAAAACCATTGGGCAGAGAAGTATAATTTATCTAGGTCCAAAGATATACAATGAACTACCAAAAAAATATAAAAAATTATTTACTCCCTAAATCTTTTAAAAAAATTTGCAGAAACTATATAATGCACCGTCCTAGAGAATTTTCAAAAAAGCAAATAGATCTAAAGAACTTTTAATTTTTATTCAGAATTTTAAATTTATAAGAATTTAACCACTTACCTGAATTGATTTGATTTAAATACAGAAAAATATACAGATTTGAGGCACCTTAATAATTTTAATTTTAAGATTAGTTAATTAGGTTAATATTTTATTGTGGTATTGTCAGAAACTTGTGATTGTTTATCTTTGGAATAATACCTACTTTTTATATAGTGTTGATTTATTTTGGGATTGTTTATTTGTTTAATTATTTTTATTTATATGTACACACACAAATATTTTACATTTAAGTGTATTTAGCATATTTATCGATTTTTTTATAATATATTTGTTATTGCGAATTTGTAAAATTTGTAAATTTGTTCAATAAATAATACTATTATATATTTCAAATATTACAAAAAAAGCTCATTAAATATTTAAAAATTCAAGTGGTTAAAATAACCCCTAAAGTTTGTCCCTTAATTTTGGTCCCCTAGGTCACAGCTTTTATATATGACGTTTTGAATTGAACGCACATTTTTTGGTGCTGCCCCCTTGCGGCAATGTATATGGTTTGTTTGATTCTCAAAAGTAAGTATCCTAGTAATGGTTTTAAGGGAAAAATACAACTTTTTATCTTTAAAACAGTAAGGAGGTTATGTTCTAAAATCATACATTTTTTCCCCTGGGTCACACGTCTCCTGGATCACATATGTGTGACCCAGGGGAAAGTTATGTGACCCAGGGGACAATTCCAAAGAAATAAATTATAATATATTTTTGAAGTAATAAAATTATAGGAAAGTTTTAAAAACATTTTTTTTTCGACCTTTCACTTTTTCTGTTTCTGACAGTACGTAGCCAATTTAAAATAATGGCCTTCATCTTTTTAATAGTAATTTTCCTGGTCAATGTATTTTGCCTCAAAGAAGCTAAAAAAAATTTTTTGGTAGTTCAACAAAACAATGTTTCAATTGACTTTTTATTATTATTTTATTTATATTACTAATAACTAAAACTTTTTATTAATTTATTGGACAAGCTGGGCCCAGTTAAAAAAATCGAGAAAAAACGTTTTTAATACGCGTTAAAAGAAGATTTCTTAAACTCACTTTTTTAAATGAACATTTTTTAAATACAGAAAATATATTAAAAATACTTATGTATGTAAGAAAGTTTAGAAATAGAACATTGTTTTTGCTTTTACTTAGTTTTGTACTCAATTTTTTTTTATAAATATTAAATTTATGTTTTTTTTTTCAACAAATCCAAAATTATTAAGCAAGTTTTTTTAATATGTTAGTAAATTTTTGACCCAGGGGGCCATTTTTTTTTCTTTTTTAAGGGCTTATTTAAAAAAATCCAACTGCCCACTTTCAGGTATTAAATAACACCCCTAAATAAACAAAATTTGAAAAAAAAACAGGTTTTTAGATTAAGTTTTTGTTTTTACTTTTTCTTCTTTAAATGTACAAGAATTTTGAAAATGACCCATATATGTCTACTTTGTTTTAAGAACTTTATTATAAAATAAAGCAATGTAGGGTTTCAAAAAGGTATCCTTAAAACGTAATGGAGGTTCTTAAAAGTCCCCAATTCTGAAAGTGTATGTCTGAAACAGTCATGGAATTCACCCTTGTCATATACATACATATATTATATAAAGGTTAGTTCATAAAGAAACACTTAAAAGAAAAGGTCTAGATATTGACGCGATTTTTTGTACTAAAAGGACGATTCTTGTGAAATTCAAGTAAAAACACCAAAGTAGAGCAGTGTAGATACAGCTATTGACACACTAAAAGTATAGAGTGGAATCTATGCAGTCAGTACACGACACACAAGAGATCTAATGAAGAAAGATATGAACTTATAAATTGCATTTTCTGCAATAACACTTTTCCACGCGTTTTATCCAACAACTGGAATATTAGATTTGCTTTTTAATAAAAAAAATTAAAAACCAAAACATGTAAATATAACAGTTTTAATATAAAAAACGTAAAAAAATATAGAGAACTTGATAAATTATAATCATACACAGAGAAAAGTAATCTCTTGATTTTACTATATTTGTCTTGGCTCAAATAAATTATTTATTTCGATATGTACAAGAAGTTATTTATTTAGTGGAAAACTTAAAGAAACAAAATCTACATCCAAACAATTTAATTAATTGCTCTATATAAATATTTCTTTACAATTAATCGCAACAATAAGTTGTTTTCAAGAAACTTATGATTTACAACCAAATAATAGTATTTTCTTATTGTAAACAACAAGTTACTACGAATAAGAAAATTTTACTTCACTCAAGAAAACATGTTTCAAATAAATGCATTTTCTTAAATCAAGAGATTACTTTTCTGTGTAATAATAATTATGATTGCCTCAAAGTATTAAATCGTGTTCACCGTTTTAACATTGTCAGCATAAAAAACGGAAAAAGCTACTCGCACGATAATTAAAATTAATATTTATTTAGCAGTAAAGCAAACGTCTAGGCGCATTTCAGCAGGAGCTAACCGCTGGAAACGAATTACAGCCGGCAGGACAGCGATCGCTTATGAATTTATTGTTTTCATATCTGGCTCGCAACAACCTCGCGTTATTTACTGTTTATATCGGCTGTGTAACGTGCGCAACATTCTGAAGACGATTTATACGGAAATTGCATCTAAATTCACATACACGACATGAGCGTACGTGGTTATAATATTTTTTATTATACTTGGTGTCACTTGGAAGATTTCATTAAGAAACATTTCCGCTAATGTTCTCTCTAAATGAATTAGTCAAAAATGACTAATGGTATACCCAACATTTACATCAAATTCTGAATCCGAAAATACCGTTAAAAAAGTAAAGTCGTATTTTTTATCACGAATGTGGAAATCAATAACCACGTGAGTGATAAAAAATGACTTTAATGCCGGGGTGCATATTAAATTTTATCCGAAATCACATTTAATAATACTAATAATTAATATTGATTGTTAAATCAAATGTCATTAAATTTTGATGATCAAATTAAATATATCATAATATATATCATAATATATGCGCAGGACTTCAGGATGTGATAGCTCATCCAAAAAGATAAAAAAGTAGCTATTATCTTACCCTCTAAAATGCACAATTTTCGAGATACAGGGTGTTCGTAAAAGTCGATTTTTCTCGAAAACGGTCAACTTTAGAGCTTATGACCAAAAGTACCTTTTTTGTGTAGAAAACATTGGCGGTTCGAATGGGCCTCTCAAAACCGTACTTTTTCAGGGGCGTAGAAGTTGAGGAGAAAAACACCCGCTACCCCTTCAAAATCTCCACCAATTATGAGTTAAAACAATTTTTTTTCTGACACAAAACATAGCTTATTATGAGTAAAAAATGCACAAAAGCTGTTTTTTATACTATAAACTGTTCCGGAGATATTCGAAAAATAAGATTTTTTTTCTAAAATTTCAACACCCTGTATCTCGAAAATTGTGCATTTTAAAGGGTAAGTTAATAGCGACTTTTTTCATATTTTTGGATGAGCTATCACATCCTGAAGTCCTGCGCATATATTATGAAAAACCCTGTATTTGTTAAATTAAACATTTTATGAAAGGGTCCAATAGACCTCCACGGCGGTGCTTTTTTTAAAATATTATTTTGTTGCTGCTGAGGAGCAGTAGACACATCTTAAAATGTATAATAGGTTGCATACAATTTACTGCCGATTTCTTTTACTTTACTGCCGATTGTTGACTACTTTACTGACGATTACGGATAAGTGTCTTTTAATAAAAACTATAAAACATCAAACATTATTAAAAACTATAAATTTTCCACTTTTAATAATTAATATCTCTGAAACTATTAGCCCAAAAGGTATAGGAATAGAAAACTTTAGCATTTTCAACAAGACATTAAAAACTACATTTCGATGTAAACAATTTTTGAATGATTTGAAGGTTTGATTTTTTATACAGGGTAACAACCTTAGATCCCCTTTATGCACGTCATTGCTTTCGAAGGTGATTTACCCAAGCGAGCTGCATCTAAAGCCTCTCACACACTCAACGTGCAATTTATCTGTGTTTACCACACGCGATTGATTCGATGTTTCGACACTTTCCCGACAAGGTCCCCGGCAAGCTTTCTTCACACGTCGAGGTCCCTGTCCGCGCACTCTATAAACTCTCATCAGCATCGCTGGATAAAAATTTCAGCGAAAAATTTATTGATTGATTTATTAGACCTTACAAATGTTGTTTTTATACCCGACAAATTGATAAATGTTATTTTTAAGTAAATAATTTTTTTCGTTATTTTTATAGGTTGCTTCAAAACTGCGGACTCACAGAAGTTCCCAGTGAAGCTCTACGTCCACTACAAAAGTTGCAGACATTGTAAGTAAAATAAACGTAATAATAAAAACAAATAATGAAATAATACAAGTTGCTTAAGGTTGTAGATTTACATCTCAAAAAAGACTTTTACTTTTCTTTAATATTTAATGTTTAATAAAAAGGCAATAAACTTTCTTTACTTTGATGTTATAATAACGTAATAATGAATTTCGCCTTAGTTTATGTACATGACACAATTTTCAATAAATTACGCAGATTAACATGTGTTATTTATCTCGCATTGACTTTAATTATAAGTTCCAATTACCTAGATAAATCAAAATCGTTAACAATCATGATTATATACCTATTCGAGATAAAACACGGTGGGCCTACAGATTTTACAGTTTTATAAAATTTACACCAAAATTATTTTTAAGCATTTTTACAACCAAATTTACAAAGTATTTTGAATTGTTTTTAAATGATAGAAATGTTTATGCGCTAAAAAAGCATCGCTAGTAGCGTACATATTAATTACATTAAATACACATTTTAGTAATGATTTACTTAAACATTGTAAAATTTTTAATTCAGTTAAAATTATAAAACAAATAATTTTAGCATTATTAAAAGCTTTAATTAAGAAAGTCTCCACTCAACAGTAAAATACCAAGAACTGGTATTATATTATAAATAATATTATGTTGCAATGAATTCGTAGGTATATTTTGTCGTTTAAAATGCAGTTGTCGGCGTTTTTTTTAGAGGACTCAAAAATAAAAATATTTGATTTTGAGGTTGTTTGTACTACAATTATTTTTTGTTACATTTCATAAAAATGTACAAACTTAAATATAAATTATATTAGGTAAAGTTTTCATTAGTTAATTCTGCACCAACAATATATGTACCGAATTGGATCCTTTGGCAAAACATGAAAATGCAACGATTTAGTACTTGAATTTTATTTACAATTAAAAACACAATAGTTCACCATGATCCCTTAGATGGAATACACACACTAACGTAACTATATAAGCATTTAAGCGTTGAGTTTCTTAATCAATGATATAAGGAATAATCAATCGAAATCGAGTACTAAACCAGTTTTTTAGTTTTTTCCTTGCAACCTAAAACACAAATAACGTGCGCGATTTAGCTGTGCAATTGAGTAAGTATACTCTCTTAAAATGAATTAGTCAAAAATAACTAATTATTATCATAGCGAAAAAGCAGTCACTAATAACACTGTGCGACAAATTTTGACCTTACAATTTGAACTGGGATGAAATGTGGAAAAATCGAATCTATGCAACCCCCAAAACTAATCTTTAAAGGGGTTTTGCTAGTTTAGCTCGAATAATGGAGATATACAGGGTGTTTCTTTTAACTTGAGACAGCTCAATATCTCGAGAAATACGCATTTCACGGAAAAATGTCTTAAATAAAAGGTTAATGTGACCAAAGGGGACGTTATTTGGTGCTACCGCTAGCCACCCCCTACCCCTCCTTAAGGGTGAAACGGGGGGTAACTTTGGAAAGTCAAATGGAATGACCCGATTTTTTTCACAGAGTTTGGTAGTACATAAAAAAATGAATAACTTTTATTTGAAAGTTTTTTTCAATTTATCAACAGATGGCGCTGTAATTCAAAATTTAAGAAAAAGGGGTTTCCTTGTAAAATGTATTATTTGAAACGTTTGAAAAACAAAAATTAACATTAAATCAACATTTGTTATAAATTGTTTTCATAGCCGACTATTGTTGTTAATGTTAATTTTTGTTTTTTAAACGTTTCAAATAATACATTTTACAAGGAAACTCATTTTTCTTAAATTTTGAATTACAGCACCATCTGTTGATAAATTGAAAAAAGTTTTAAATAAAAGTTATTTATTTTTTTATGTACTACCAAACTCTGTGAAAAAAATCGGGTCATTCCATTTGACTTTTCAAAGTTACCCCCCGTTTCACCCTTAAGGAGGGGTAGGGGGTGGCTAGCGGTAGCACCAAATAATGTCCCCTTTAGTCACATTAACCTTTTATTTAAGACATTTTTACGTGAAATGCGTATTTCTCGAGATATTGAGCTGTCTCAAGTTAAAAGAAACACCCTGTACATATATATATGTATATCTCCATTATTCGAGCTAAACTGGTAAAACCCCTTAAAGGATTTGTTTTGGGGGTTGCCTAGATTCGATTTTTTCAGATTTGATCCCAGTTCATTTTTTGTGTTGCACAGTGTAATTAGTCAAATTCTACTGAATGAAATAGTCAAATTAGTAGATTTAAATTTAAAAAAAAATTGACCCAGCTAGGGATTGAACTCAGGTCACTTGTCAAGCTTGTCAAGTTGTTGTCATAACCCATTCGGCCATCAGCCGGCTTTATAAAAATCAATTTTATTTGTCAATAAATATTGTTCATAATATTTTAAAGTTGAATATATTATTTGTGTTGCTGTTTTGAGCTAAACTTTTTGCATCTTTATTTGTTTTTATGGGTCATTTAACCATGGAGCTTAGGTATATGCATTTAATTTAAATAATACTTTGTTGTTGGCCGCAAACGATTAAAGAAATTAGTTACTTTTAACTGTCAGAAATAGTCAAAGATGGTGACTAATCTTAAATTAGTCAAACTTTAACTATTTACGTAGTAAAAAATAACTATTTAAAAGTGAAAACTACTATTTTATTAGTAAAAAAATGCTGGTACTAATTCAAATTGTAGAATTTTGACAATTTCATTTTTAGAGAGTAATTACTTATTTATTTAAAAATGATGTGCTTTAAATACATTGTTGAAAATTCTTGAATTCACACCACCAGATGGCGCGCGCGTTGTGAAAACCCGATGCCTTTTTAACATATAAAATTAAATCTTGAAAACCATGCTAAAAAAGGTATTGTGAATTTTGATTTTGGCAGGTTAAATTCGATCATTTTGAGGTCGCAATGCAAAAGTTTGTTTTAAATTTTATGGTTTCACTTTCACATAAAAACTTTCCTGGAACACGATACCTTGAAAACCACCGTCCCAATAAATATTCGAGAAAACTTAACTTTTTTAAAAGCGATATTTTTGCCCTATTGTTGCACATTCAATGAACTTATTATCGGAATCCCTTTCTGTAAAATAAAACTTTAGTTTATGAACTGAGATAAAATTTTACAACTTTAAGCAATCCCAATATAATTTTCACTGCAAAAACGTTTGATATGTCGTCGTTAAATGGCGGCAAAAAGTGTCGGTTTAATTTGTTTTTTTTACAGGTTTTATTCGGGAAAATGAAATAAAAAAGTTTATTTCGTCTTTTAGTGGACGTAAAAGTGAGGACACAGTTAATAAATACTTTTATTTAAACCGTTCAAGGTGAAATAAACTTTTTTCTTGGATTTCAGCTGTACCTACCTAATAAACTTAAATATGATAAAACATAAATTTGTTGCAAAAATGGCGGATGCGCCGGGTTTAATTGAACACATTTAACGTTTATTGAACAAATAAAATAGCCAATTAGGGTATACAATAATTGCCATTCATAAACTGCATTAAACAATCATCATATTTCACAATTATTTTCACAAAATCACTTTTCAGAGCTTTTTATTATAAACATACATCACTTATTTCAAATTTCATTTATGTCGAGTAAAAAGTTCTGATACTTCAAAATTGTACCTATATGCACAAACACCACAGTATCTCAGAAAATCACTTTTTTGTCTCTAAAATCGCATGTAGATGTGCACACGTGGCAACACTGTTTTGTGTGGTGTTTTGTTGGTTGTATAACACGTAAACCTGAAATGGGTTAACATCAAAATAATACTTTATTGTTATTAAATGTTTCTGAGGATCGTAAATGTATTAAAATTGGCAACATTGCTTTAATTATTAAATTCGCACTTTACAATTTTTTATATTTTCTTATAAAACTGATAAATATTGTTCTGGGGATTCAATAAAAGTAATATTTTGATGTTGACTCGTCAATGTTGTTATGTTGGATTTTGTTGTTTGTGTTCGTCAGACACGTTGGAGGCAACGAAATCTGGCAGGCGTTGGGCAGCACGTTCGAGTGGCAACAGGGGCTGCGCAGCCTGCGACTGGACGGCAATCGGCTGCGCGCAGTACCCACCAATGCGCTGACCGTGCTCACGCATCTAGAGGTCCTGTGAGTACAAGGACCAATGCACTTTGTATAGTTATTTTTCTTGTTGTTATTTGAATAAGGTGGTTTACACGGTGCTGCTCTTAGAAGTGATTTTCAGACTTTCTGAAAAACTTTTTTTTTTTTGTGAAATTCTATTTATTTATGATGTAACTAAGAATTTAAAATTTAAAAAATCCCACGGTTAGTTTTTTTTTCAAATTTGATTTTTATTAAGAATATTGTGCCCTATTTTAATTATCCACTTAAAACTTTCGATTTTATATATCGACAAAACGTTTGAAATTTATTAAAGACTATCTAATTTTCATAAAAATAAATTAGAATTTTTTATGTTATTGACCATTATCTTACAATAAGTGATATTTTTTAACTCTTAAACTTTTATTATACTTCCAATTAAAAGTTTATTTTAAGGTAGCCATGAAATTTTAACTTGGATGAATTTATTTGACATTTAAGTTTTCATATACCTGCTATATAAGTTTTATTAATTTTTTTTAAACTATAAAATATTTTTTTAAAATTTACAAAAGGTTCTGGATGGTCTTTTAATGACAATGAAAGTCTTAAATTATTAAAAAATATTGACTATCTTAGAAACATTTCTTCCCTGGAATGTTTGAAATTTGTAAAATGTTTTTCAAGTTTGGAAAACGTTGTTAATATGTGTTTTGGTAATAAAATAAATAAGAACTATTTAGACCAAATAAATAATTTTTTGATAGATTTTGTTGATTTACAAATTAGGATAACTCCAAAAATTCATGCCATTATTTATCAAATTTCACAAAAGCACGAAAATGGATTAGGAAGTTATTCTGAGCAGGCTGTCCATTCAGACTTTAAGGCTTAAACCAAAAATTTTTGGTTCGGGTACAAGAACACCCAGAATATCCAAAACATTTAGTTGCTGCCATCATAGAATATAATGCATTGCATTTATAATTTAGTTTTTTGAATAAAAAGTTTTTTTTTAATTGTTTTAATTTAAATATGTTACGTAAGATGTTAGTTATTAGTTTTTTTTGTGAATTTATACATAACTGCTATGATTATTGTTTATTTAAACGAAAATCTACAATTTAATGTCTACATACAAATTACCAATTCATGGAATCCTTAAATTAATTTTTAATAAAGGAAACAAACGCATACTTAAAGTTAAATAACAACTTTAATTGCATCTTGTAAGAAAACAGTCAATGATATAAAAAAATTGTGAAAACATTTTTTAAACGTTTTGCCAATATATATAAGAAATCGAAAATTTTAAGTGCATAATTAAAATAGGGCACAATATTCTTAATAAAAATCAAATTTAAAAAAAACTTACCGTGGGATTTTTTGTACTTTGCTCTTAAATTCTTAGTTACATCAGAAATAAATAGAATTTCACAAAAAAAAGTTTCTCAGAAAGTCTGAAAATCACTTCTCAGAACAGCACCGTGTTTAAAAAACGGATTATTCTCTTACAAAAAATATAAGTATGTTTAAACTTTTTAAAATATTTAATTTATAAAATTAAAAATGTGTTTCTTAATATAAAGAAATAAATGTCAAAATATCCGATATATCAACTAATTATATCATGATGAATATTAAAATATTTTTGAACCCTGTCAATTTTATAATAAGTTTTTGTAATTTTCTTTATTTTTATTTTATATTTTACGAAAATATTTAACAAATTCAATTTTTGTATTGCATTATTTAATAGTTTTTAACTATTTTAATAAAAATTTCGTTGAAAAATATTAAAAGGATTTAATACAAAAATTTAAATTGGTAAGATAGATAATAAAAATAATGTAAATTACATATAATGTTTTTGTAACTTTTTACATCATAATATTATTTATAAATTTTTAGAAAATTATTTGTAAGGGTCATTATACTATTTAGCCCCATCTACCCCTAAAAAATACATATTTCACTTTTTCATATCCATTGTGATTATTATTTAGGCAAACTAAAGGTAATTTTAATGTTACTCTCAGCAAGAAAGTTTCGCTTAAAGATTTTCTTATTTTTAAGTTTTAATGTCGTAGCAATGACAAAAGAGACATGTGACGAATAAGACATTTTTCACAATAAAAAAATCTATTTATGAGATAACACAATAAATTTACATGAAAGAAAATTAAATACTGCAAATACTGAGTAAATACCGTGACGAAAGATAACCTTCAAAAACACACGCTGCTTGTTTGTAACGCGCAAAATAACTACATGTGTTACAGAGTTCTTTTATATGTAATTCTAAAGTCCAGTATATTTTATAAAAAAGTTCTTTTTATTTGGGCTGTTTATGACGAAGTAGACATTTAATATAAGGACAAGTTTTGACGCTCAAAAAATTATTCACAGATATTTTATCACATTCTTTATTAGTACTAAGGAACTACTTTTTTATTACACTTTAGTTTTAGAATTTTGTTTTAACCTTAATTAAGACACTACAAATATTTTTATATTTAATTCAAAATTTTTTTAATAATTTTTGTTATTTTAAATTCATATTTATGAATCTAGTTCTATATAAGCAGTTTTAATTTATTATTTTATTAATAGGAAATGTTGGGACAACAAGAAAATGGCAGAGAGCCTTAATAGTATAATGACCCATCAATTTAATTTTTTTATTGCATTTTTTTAAGAAAACAATATTATTTAAATGCATATCAATAAAATCGCATTTAATTTTTTTTGGAAATTAAAACACATTTTTACAATAAAACTAAACTTATTTTTGGAATAAAAACATTGATTTATAATTTTTCAATGAGAATTATCCGTTTAAAAACCCTCACATTTTCTATTTACAACGTCCTTGTATTTTATTTTTTCTCACCATATTTTTTTGTTTTTGTATTTAACTTATGCATGCCACCATCATTTGTCTTATAACCCGCTCCTCCTTTATTCTGTCAATCATCATATAACAATTCCCTCGCATTTTTCAATATTATCTCTCCTCCACGAACCCAACCACAATGATTTATTACTAACAATATGTGTAGTTAATGGTTGATCATGGGGCACTTAATGATCTTGGTTATTAACAGGTTAAAAGTGCCTAATTAAAAATATGATCGATTACGTTTATCGGTATGGGATACGTAGTTTACACATCACATTGGGTAATATATCTTCTTTGGTGGTAAATGATTTATCGGTATAAATATAAAACATTTTGTATGTACATATATAGTGTCAATAATGAAATATTAAATAAAAACACTTATAAATAGGGATATTTTTTGCCTTTCTTTAATTTTAGATTGTCCATTTTTTGCAGTGTATACTTGGCTTTACCCTTTGCAAGTAAAAAGGCGAGTTTTACTAGTCATTTTACAGTTCATTTAAGTTTAGTACAATCTCTTTAGGTGCCCTTCTTTATACTTTACTTAACGACACTATTTTAGTACCCATAAAAAGCATTTTTGTGGGTTTAAAGTAATCTTTTCTAGTGCTATCGGGAAGACTGCGTAAACAATTTTTTCATCAAATGATCTTAGAAAGTTTTGTAACAACATATATTTCAATAGTTAATTTTGTTTAAAGAATTTTAACTAATTTTAATAGCAAACGTCTTTGTTTACTTCTACCGACTTTTTTACCAATAAATTACCATCAACCAGGAAGATACACTTAATTAAATGACCATACCCGTATAGGTTCGCCATACCGTCGTAAACGATCATATTTAATGCACATACTAAGTAAGAGGTAATCATAACGAACTGAAACAAGTCATTAGGTGTAATTTAGATGGGAGAAATTAAATAAATCGCCTATAATAATGATAAGATTGAATTAAATTAGGCGTACAGAGATTTGCAGATTAGTAGGTATATATTTATGATTGAAAAATAAAATTATGGGCATAATGACTAGTCAAATGTCAATTATTTAAATGTAAACTAAATTACGAAGATATATAATATATTATGTAGGGTCAAGGAAGGTCGTAACCTATGGAATATTCACGAACTAATTAGGATTAACAAAATTTATATAAATGGAATATTATGTTTATACTGTCACAGCAAGATATTAATGTATATAAAAAAATACCTTTAAGTTTGATCTCTTAATCTTACTTTCATTTAATTTCATTTTTAATATGGAAAATTTAGGATTTAGGCTTCTAAAACTTACATAGGAGCAATTTGCAGATGATAAGAGGAATCAGAAAAATAGCGAAACAGACGTGGCCTACAGAAGAGAGAACCATAATCCTATTATATATACAGAGTTCTAGTTGGTTTTCTTACTTTTTATTAATAAAAAACAAAACATTTTAGAAAATCGGAAATAGCATATGGCAAAAATGCAGTCTAAACATATTTAACGTTACACAGTATTGCTGTTATGTAACCCAGGAATCACATTCCAATGTAACAATGTTACTAAAATGCAACGCAATAGTTACCTAAAATAATAGTTACATTGTAACTGTTCCAACTTAACCAATATGAAATATAATAATAACGTAACATTGCGATACTATTGTAATATAACTAAATTACAAATAAGCAATGTAACAATAAGGTAACATTGTGAAACTATTGATATAACAAAATTACCAATTAGAAATGGAACAACAAGGTAACATTGTGGAACTATTGTAATATAACAAAATTACCCACAAACAATGTAGCAACAAAGTAACATTGTAAAACTATTGCAATATAACAAAATTATCAATAAGCAATGCAACAAGGTAACATTGTGAAACAATTGTGATATAACAAAATTACCATTTAGCAATGTAACAACAACTTGACATTGTGAAACTATTGTAACATAACAAAATTACCAATAAGCAACATAAAAAAACGTAACATTGCGATACCATTATAATAAGTTTGTTACGTAACAATTATATTAATTTTACGTAACAAACTTATACTTATACACATCATTTTCATCTCGCTCATGTTACTAACCTCGGCTAGGTATATAAACGAAGTTAAGACAGCGCACCATGTCCATTTGTCATTGGTCCTCAAGCCGTCTGCCTGATTATGGGATACAGCGTTAAACTGACTGACTTTGTCATAACTTAAATTGCAAAAATGTAACTGCAATGTAACATTGTAATTCATTAAAAAGTTACATAACAACAACATAAAAATAATAATGCATTTATGTAACAACAACGTAACATTGTTATGTAACAATGTTACTTCAAAAAGCAGGAAATAGGAACCTATTTGCAATCATCAGGTTATGTAACTGTAATACATATCACGATTGTTGCATAACATTTTGGTTAATGTTACGTTACAGTGTCGAACGTTATGTTTTACTTTTATAACGGCAATGTAACATTGTAATCCATTAAACAACAACATAAAAATTATAGAGCCTTTATGTAGCGACAACGTAACATTGTTATGTAACAATGTTTCTTCAATAAGCGGGAAATAGGAACCTATTTGCAACAATCAGATTATGTAACTGTAATGTTACACATAACATTTTGGTTAATATTACGTTACAATGTTGACGTCGTATATATATATTTTAATAAATTAAAGAAAAAGTCCTAAATTTTACAAGATTAAGGCTGAAACTTGAAGTAATTTTTTTATTGATATTTACATTATATTTTTAAGTAATCACCCTAACGTGTTACAACTTTTTAGGTCATTCGGGTCATGACAGTTTTTTTGTCAATATGCTATTGATATTTCGAATCATACAATCTCCAGATTTATTACTATACCGGTATTAAGAAAATAACAAAAAAATGTTTTCGTTACCTAAAGGATTTGTTTTAACGTATAGTGTTATGTTTACCTCTTGTATTTACTCATTAACTGCAGCACAAATGTAAATAACTCGACATGTGTTTATTCAGTCATAAAGAGCTGATTAACACTTCATTGCTATTTTATGTAAATAACTACAAATCATTGAAATCTACACATTATATCATTACAATACAATTGGCAATAAATAAACGAACGATTGGCACAAAATTATATATTTTTTTACAAAATTTTATTTCAGATAAGTATTTTTTGTTATGTATACCTAACTAACACAGAAATAGGTTATTACTAGATGAAGAGCTTTGTTAGAATAACATTTTTGGTTCTATATTTTTGTCTAATATTTATTTGTGCAATTTTATAGGAATATTGGAAGTAATTATATTAATTCAATACCAGTTGGATCCTTCCCAGAAATGAACAGTCTTATTATATTGTAAGTATTCAAAAAGATATTTTTTTACTACCAGTATTGTACATGCTTTATGGCATTTCAGTCACGGGCTGAAGTTATAACTGCTATAGCAACAGGTTTTTAGTCACGGGTTGAAGTTAGTTTTAAGTTAGTTGACAGTTTTCAAATGTCATAAAATTGTTAAAATAAAGTAATAAAATAATATTAAATGTAAAAATTATTTTATTATCTCAATACAAAAATTTAAAAGTATTAAATACATTTTCTTTTCTTTCACTGTAAAAAACAGACACATTTTAATATACACATACAAATTTGACATTTGAGATTCTCAAGTTGGTTACTCTATTATTTTATAGATGTCGCTCTATGCAAATATTTAATTTTAATCACTTTTAGATAATAATAAGTATTTGTCATAGTTAAATAAACAGTGATATTTTTAGTAATAATTTATGTAAATTTAAAAAATTTTAGTATTTAATATTAGGGGCATTATGCGTATTTTGTATGTATCTTTCTTCTTTGTAATTACTTGTAAAGTAGAAAGAAGAAATAAATTAATAAAAAAAAGTATAGACACTGATTTAATTTAATACGTAATACTATTTTTCATTTTGTTATAAAAATATTACCTACATTTTAATATAAGTTACAAGTCGACAACAAAAATCAAAGAACCCATATATTAAAAAAAAAGTATATTTCTGAATTTAAGAACAATAGTTAAGACTTTGTGCACTTTGTAAAATGATGTACTATGAAAAGTTCCTGCGCCAAAACTTTTAATATATTTCATAAACATGTAAATACAAATTTAACACGTGTAGCTTGCCAAAACCGAAAAACTTATTCCTCCTTGTTTGCCTCTATAAACAAAGGTTGACTGAACCACAAAAAGATTAATGATAGTTGTGCGCGAACTAAGCTAACATTTTAAAATGCAAATCGGTGTTCTCGCAGAAAACTGCGCGCTTTTGTATATCCCGTCATATTTAATAATTTTTCGCGAAAATGTTACTACGTACAGCGTGAAATTGCGAAACATTGTCCTATATTCTCTCCGTGCAAGGATATATAGGACATGAGTTTATTTCTTTAATATATCACATGCAAGAACAAATGTGGGAAGATTAAAATAAAATTCTAAAGTTTTCTTTTGAGTTATGTCGCATAAAATTACGGATATGTTTGTTTTCTGGAAATTTATCTCTTTGTTTTTACCTACTTGTATAGTCAAGTTTCATCAGATTAGAAGAATAAATAAATAAATCGTTTATTAGAAAAGCTATTACATACTTTAAATAAATATATCATCAATTAAATATTTAAAAGTTGGTATAAACATAAAAAGACAAAGAACTTTTAAATTTTCAATAAGTAGATTAATTTGTTATTATCACAGGTAAGTTAAATTAACATAATCTTAATAGGAGTATATTTACCAAAATCCTAGCTGCTCCTCTTTTATTTTTTTTTGAAAATTCATGATTTTTTTAAAATTTTTGTTTATTTCAAAGTCTACCTTTGACAGAGTACACATTTGTACACCGATTTTTATAAAATTAGAGAATATTATTAAGGAGACTTAAAGAATACTTTTTAATACTGTTCACATCATTTGATATATACAGGGTGAGCCAAAAATCACTTTATATAGTAAAAAGCATAATGCACAAAAAAGATTTATCTCCAAAAAATGTTATTTTATTTAATTTTAGTCAAAATCAATTTTTCTTATTAAGTCTTAATAAGAATCCCATTTTGTAGCCTGATAAACATAAAAATATATAAAAAACATGGTATATATCTTTTTTGCGTATTATACCAAAATCATGGAGTTACGCTTTTGCTTTATTAAAAGAAGCGATTTTTGGCTAACTCTGTATATATTAAATGATGTGCACAGTATAAAAAAGTATTCTCCAAAATATACTCCAAAATTATTAAAATTGGTGTACAAATATGTAGACTTTAATTTTAAAAAAATCATGCATTTTTTTGTCATTTTGTTCATTATTAACAAAGAATAACTTTTAAAACTTAAGTTATCGTCTATATTTACTCCAAGAAATTTAATTTCATGCACTTTTTCGATTAAAATGTTGTCAATTTTAACATCGTATACAATATTTCCAACTTTTGAAATAGCATATTTTTTACCTATAAACCTATATTTGGATTTACTAAAATTTAAACATAAATTACTATTACAGTGCAAAGAATAAAATAATTTAAGATCATCATTAATACACTGAAACATATAATCCAAATTATCATTATCATTGTATCTGCAAACATATGTAATTTATAAACCTTTACACATTGAATCATGTCATTTATGTATAAGTTGAAAAGAATAGGACCAAGTAGAGTGCCCTGAGGGACACCATATTTAGTTTTTAATTGTTCACATATTTTACTTTTTGATATCTAGTTTTAAATGCACGTTTAAAGTCTATAAACACAGCTATCACAAAATTATTATTTCCAAGACATTTGTACCACTCATCACAAACATTTAATGTAACTGATTCACAGGAATGTAACTTTCTAAATCCAGACTGGTTTTCTATTACCACAGAATTTAAATCACAAAACTTTACCAGTTGATCTTTAACTTCAATTTCCAAAATTTTTTGTAAATATTAATTAAACAGTATTAATTGGCGTACGTTCTTCTACCAAAATGGTGTTTTGAATTTTGAGAACAAGGACCACACTTGAGATCTTCCAATTATCAGGAAAAACACCAGTTTTTAAAGACTGGTTTACCACATCATTAAAACGGTTACCAATAACTTGAAATGAGTCCTTGTACTTACTAAATCTTCAATATTTGTTGTGTTTTTTAATTTCATTATATATTTTTTTAATTATATGATCATAATCATAATCATATAATCATAATCTTTATTAGCAGAGAATTTGAATTAAGTACAGCTTCGTCAAAAAACTAGGAAAGTAAAATACTATAGTACTAATTAAATAGTAAAAAGATTAAAAACATTAGAAATAAGTGTAAAAATAGTTATGACATCACAGTTAAAGTATAATTTATACATTGTTATATTTTCAATCAATTTCATTTTTTTTCTCAATTTTGTCCAATATTACTTCATATTCATTTTTATTTTAATTGATTGTACTATTTTTTTATTGCTTTCTAAAAAATAATTTAGAGCTTAATATTTTGTATGTAAAAATCTTTTTTAGTATACAAAATAATAAAATATAAATCTTAAACTTCAAAAACTAGGTATAAAATAACTATTCCGTTTTTATTTTGTTTTTGATTGTTTTCATTAATTTCTCAACGAAAATTTAAAAAGCGGTTACTTTTGACTCACCCTGTAATATTTAGTAAGCATTTTTCAGGTATTTTAGAAATTTTTTATACCAAAAAACTTTTAATTATAAAAGATATCATTCTTGCAGTAAATTTGCCCTACAAACATGTAAATAAACCACCATATTACCCAAAATGCGACAAGTCGCCCAAGTTAATTTATTTGGGACAGCAGTGAATCGTTTTAGCCGCCTCGAAGCTCATACGGGAGAAGTGGGCTAAGTGACGTTCACTGAAAAGGGTCAAAATTATAGTTATAGAGATTGAATTTTATTTGGAGTGATTTATAACGTAGCGAATAAATATAAATTTCCCCCCAGTCGGTTTGACGTCCTTTTTTATGACGAGAATGGTCGTTAGTTTGATAACTAGCTCGGGTCGAAGTTATTGTTATCGGAGTTTGGTTGAAATTTATTAAAAATCTTTTAAATGGTTCTGAAGAATATTTATTTATTAAGATCGAAAGATTGCTTATTTTATAGGTGTGTGTTTCACAAAATGTATGTTTTAGGTTGATGAAGAGAAACCAAATAACAGAGATCGATGAGAATGCTTTTTCCAATTTGACGGCTTTAAGGGTTTTGTAAGTATAAGTGTAGGTTTTTTTCTTTTTAATGAGTGACTTCTTTAATATAATGAATGTTTCACATTCGTGGTCCATTAGAAGTTTATGGGGAACGGAAAAAGATATCGATTTGAAATTTTAAAAGCGTTTATATTCCATTTAAGCCCATTTTTCTACAATATTTTAAAGACCCCATATATCTTTAAATTCTACATAAAAATTACTAAATCATGTCCTACACCTAAAGTAAATAGTTTTCGAGTTTTTTTCGTTAAAACTTAAGAAATGCGCTTTAATTAAAAATATGGGGGTGGAATATTGGAATCTTAAATTATAGTTAAAAATGCAATTAATTTGGTTTTGGTGGTGCGTAGATGAGTAAAATCATATAAAAAAGTAGTTAAATATAGGTGGTTACGGCCAAGGAGAGACAAAGTATTCCTAGCGGATAATAATCTTCGCTTTAAAAAGAATTTATATAAAAGAAATTAAAATTTTATGTGAACACACGTAAATGTTGTCCAATCATTGGACTCCAATGGTGAATGGGTATTTTATGGATGATAATACTTGTAGTGGCTTAATAATAATTATAATGTATATATTGTCCAGGACTATTAATGATCAGTAACTTGCAAATTGAAAGAAGAAAAAGTTTCGTGATTATTGCTTATCTTTTTCAAACTAAATGGATGCTATTTTCAAAGTCAGGAAAATTAACTACTAGATTTTTCACAAAAAGGGTGAACCTAACAGCAAACACTTTTTATTTTTTATTTCCCTTATTTTTTAAAATTTGAAAAAATTTTGATCTGCTTAGCTAAAAATAATGTGTGATTTAATATTTGTAAAATCAAAAACGTTACTTTTTTACTCCAAAAATGCCCATAAGGCGATGTACTTTTTCTGCCATTGAGGCATTTGGCATAACTTCATCGAAATTAAGTTTTGCCCTTAAAAGGTATTTTACTTTAGAATCTGATATTATTTTTGGCATAGTTATCTTTTTATATCGATATTATATAATAATTAACAAGTATATTATCATATATTATATCACGAGAACTTTGAATTTAATCGGTTAAACTAGGCTCAGTAGTTTTTTGTTTGGTTTTTGTTGAAAAATGTTGAATGCAAAATAATTTAATAAAATCACGAGAGCGCGTAGCGGTCGAGGGGTTTTATTTTTAATTATTTTGCATGAAACTATTTTCCAAAAAGAAAAATCAAATAAAAAACTTACTGAGCATAGTTTGACAGATTAAATTTATAGGTTGAGTGATATACGTCTAGATTATTTCTCGAATTAAAGGAAACTATTTGACAATTCATAAAATCTGACGTATGTGTCAAAATTAATAAATATTTTTTTAAAGAAAATTTCATTAATTTAAGGTAGGTATGTAATAAGTAATAATTGATATTTCGTAAACTAGATATCTTATTTTTTATTGTTTTTTAAAAAATGTTTGTTAAAACTTGTAAATAACACCATAAAATCGTAAACAAAAATCCAATATGGAGGCTAAAATTTAATCGCTGTTAATAGTTCTAGTGATTTAATCGCTTAATTAAACGAAATTTATTCGAAAATTCAAGGCTTTTGATTGGTTCATATTATAATGAGGGAAATAATCAATAATAAATATTATTGTCAATTTGACAGTGCCAGAGTATGTATTAATGAATACATAAATTAAGGTCTTCAGCATTTTTTAAATACTATTTTTTTAAATACTATACAGGGTGTCCTGAAATTAGTGCACCATACTTTAACAGCAGATTGAACGTGCAAAAATAAGAAAAAAAGTCCTATAAACATAGGTCAAAAAATGCCTCTCAAGGGAGCTACAGCCCCCAAAAGAAAAGCCCCTGAAGATGGTTTTTATTTAATATCTTCAAAACCGTTAAAGATATAAAAGTGAAATTTGGGGAATTAATTAAACTTTTTATGACCAACAAGACGTAACAATAACAATTTAAAAAAATTCATGAGGTTTGGGTCAGATTGATAGGAAGTAGGGTTAAACCACCTTAACTTTTTTGTACGTATCTTGTACCAGAATTTGATGTCAGATTATGAAATTTTAGAGTTTTGCACATAAAAAAGGTCATACTGTTGAACTTCGATAACATACACCGTTTTCGCATAAAATCAATTTGAAAATTATTTTACATGGCATAAAAATTCACAATTAAATCACAACCATAGAAATGGACTCGCGTGGTCCTTGGAATACGGCTGCCATGTTTAGGAAAAAATAAAATAATTCAGGACAGGTGACAGTTCCATGTAGTAAGTGACAGGGTATTTCTACTTTTTTATAAATATTATATAAAAACCATATTCAGGGGCTCCCTTTTCGGGGGCTGTAGCTCCCTTAGGAGGCATTTCTCGACCTATATTTATAGGGACTTTTTTCTTATTTTTGCACGTAGAATCTGCTGTTAAAGTATGGTGCATTAATTTCGGAACACCCTGTATAGGAAATAGTAACATAAATCGAAATGTGTTTTAATTCACTATTTGATTATCTAAAAAAGTTATTAACCTTTCAAGTTAGCCTAATTTGACCTGGGTTTTCTTTGAAAATGTTAAAGAATTGACATTGTTTAAAAGATTTAAAAAAGTTCTTAACAAAAAAAATCATAAATCGAAAATTATTTACTTTATGTAGGACATTAAAAATGTAAAAATATATGAGGTGTTCTATTTGAAATAACTTTGTTCAAAATATATTCAAATTGATGTCTTTTTTCGTTCTCCAGAATTATTAAGATAGCAAAAAGCGTAACCGATGCATAACTGCAAAGGGGTCTTCAAACTGGAAATGAAATATAGTTTGAAGGCATTAAGGAAGTTTCTATCGCTGATGCGCTTTTATGTTTTGTTTGTGTTTTCCAGAGAGTTAGATGACAACTTCCTGACACAAATACCGAACGCCCTCGCCAAACTACCTGACCTACAGGAACTGTGAGTTCATTTAAATTTAGCACGACTCCCTGTTTGCATGTTTTATACTTCTACACTTTTTTTAATAATGTACAAGCAAACAGGTTTTTGTGGAGAATAATTATAATTATTATAGTACACTCACAGGCAAAATAATCGATCCACACAAAATTTCGATGAATTTCAATCGCAAATAACTTTTTTATTTGATTTCGGATTTATACAAATATTAAAGAATATTGTAGATACATTAATGGAGAATCGCTCACATTTTAAAAATTACTAAAAAATAGACGTACGTTTATAATATACAGGTTTAAACAAAAATATGTTTTTTACCATAAGTTTAAGACACTCTGTAGAGTGGCAAAACCGTATATTGTTCTAAATTAAGTTTTAATTATCAAGTCACATCTACTTTTAACAGTTTTGTTTTTGGTTCACCTTGATATATTTATTTTTGTGAAAAATATGGATTTTTTTAAAAAAACATTGCAATTTCCAATATTTTCCTGTATGAAGAACTAAGGTTGCTATGGTCCATCCATAGCCTATGGAGAATGACAGTGACAGTTTTGTTGAATCATCCCATACTTGGACATGTCATACACGGCTTTCAAAAGCTATCAAATTGTTTTTTGCAAATTAATGTTTAAATTTTAAGGTGTCTTCCTACTTTAAAAAATGGATATGTCTCCGACTGATGTTGCCAGAGCCATTAATTTAATCCAGGATGGACGGTCACAGTATTACGTGGCAAGTGTTTTAAACGTCACAAGAAGTAAAGTACAAAGGGCAACATCAGTCAGAGACATTTTTAAAAGTAAGAAGACACCTCAAAATTAACACATTAATTTACAAAAAACAATTTGATAGCTTTTAAAAGCTGTATATGACATGTCCAAGTATGGGATGATTCAACAAAACTGTCACTGTCATTCTCCATAGGCTATGGATGGACCATAGCAACCTTAGTTCTTCATAAAGAAAAATATTGGAAATTGCAATGTTTTTTTAAAATATCCATATTTTCCACAAAAATAAATATTTCGAGGTGAACCAAAAACAAAACTGTTAAGAATAGATGTGACTTGATAAATAAAACTTAATTTAGAACAATATACGGTTTTGCCACTCTACAGAGTGTCTTAAACTTATGGTAAAAAACATCTTTTTGTTTAAACCTGTATATCATAAACGTACGTCTATTTTTTAGTAATTTTTTAAAATGTGAGCGATTGTCCATTAATTTATCTACAATATTCTTTAATATTCGTTTAAATCCGACATCAAATAAACAAGTTATTTGCGATTGAAATTCATCGAAAATTTGTGTGGATCGATTATTTTGCCTGTGAGTGCATTTAACTACCTGTTTATCAACATTAACAAAATATTGATACAAATATAGGTCGATATCGGGCAACAGGATAAAGTACATCTCAGGCGGGGTCCTGCAGAAAACTCCGAACTTGGCGCTGTTGGAGTTAAAGGGGAATCCGCTGTTTGGAGTGGACTCCCACGCCTTCTCCTTTCTGCCTCGACTGAGAAAGCTGCAAGTATTATGTTCTCGTAATTTTATCGTTTTAACCACCCTTAACACCTTTAATATGAAACAGTAACAAGATATTGCTAGTTAAGTTTCTTTTCTCCAAATGTTTGTTAAATTTTTTGTGTGGGGTGGACCACAACGGGGTCAAATTATATACAGGGTTAGTCTTTTAACTTAAAACTTTGAAATATCTCAGTAAATAGGCATTATACGAAAAATTAAAAAAAAAATTAAATGATTCCAGGGGGAAAATAATATATAATATAATAATAATATAATAATATATATTTATTTGCCCAACAGATTACAAAATCCAATTACAGGACAAAATTATAAAATCGTGCAAACTTAACAAATAATTATAAAAAAACCTACTTTAACAAAGTTTACAATAAAAATAAATAAATTATTCTAAGCTAAAATTATTAATAATGTTAGTTACGATGTCACCCAAAGAATCAAAATAAATATCACAGATAGACTGTATTTTATTATAATTATTGCACATTATAAAAGTTGGAGACATAAACATAACATTGGTTTTTGCCAATTTTTTAGTACCAAAATTATTCCCCATACTCTTATCCTTATAGGAAGGACATGGAGTAACCATAATTTTTATTGCATATATGCATATATATTTCGATCATTTCACTTAAATAGGTAGATTTTGTCTAAAACATTTTTTTATATTTGTAAAAAAGCCCTGTAATAAAAACAATTTTGTACGATTTCTCCTCTGTATACAATTCTGCAATAATTTTTCAATAAAAAAATAAAAGTGATATACATATTACTTTTTTATTGGAAATAATTATCTTATTAAATTAAATATGATTTTTTTTTATAAAGTACGATTATTTTACTAATATTTAAGTTTCACAAAGTTAAAGTTTTATACTTATACTTTATATTTTATTTAATCATATAATATTATTATATCACGAGAACGATGAATTTAATCGGTTAAACCAGGCTCAGTAGTTTTTTGTTGGAAAATGTTGAATGCAAAATAATTTAATAACATCACGAGACCGCGTAGCGGTCGAGGGTTTTTTTTTTAACTATTTTGCATGAAACTATTTTCCAAAAATCAAATAAAAAACTTACTAAGCATAGTTTGACAGATTAAATTTATAGGTTGAGTGATATACGTCTAGATTATTTCTCGAATTAAAGGAAACTATTTGACAATTCATAAAATCTGACGTATGTGTCAAAATTTATAAATATTTTTTAAAGAAAATTTCTTTAATTTAAGGTATGTAATAAGTAATAATTGATATTTCGTAAACTAGATAACTTATTTTTTATTGTTTTTTAAAAAATGTTTGTTAAAACTTGTAAATAACACCATTAAATCGTAAACAAAAATCCAATAGGAGGCTAAAATTGCATCGCTGTTAAATAGTTCTAGTGATTTAAACGAAATTTATTCGAAAATTCAAGGCTTTTGATTGGTTCATATTATAATGAGGGAAATAATCATATATTATATCACGAGAACTATGAATTTAATCGGTTAAACTAGGCTCAGTAGTTTTTTGTTTGGTTTTTGTTGGAAAATGTTGAATGCAAAATAATTTAATAACATCACGAGACCGCGTAGCGGTCGAGGGGTTTTATTTTTAATTATTTTGCATGAAACTATTTTCCAAAAAGAAAAATCGAATAAAAAACTTACTGAGCATAGTTTGACAGATTAAATTTATAGGTTGAGTGATATACGTCTAGATTATTTCTCGAATTAAAGGAAACTATTTGACAATTCATAAAATCTGACGTATGTGTCAAAATTTATAAATATTTTTTTAAAGAAAATTTAAGGTATGTAAGTAATAATTGATATTTTGTAAACTAGATAACTTATTTTTTATTGTTTTTTAAAAAATGTTTGTTAAAACTTGTAAATAAAATCGTAAACCCAAAATCCAATATGGAGGCTAAAACTTAATTGCTGTTAAATAGTTATAGTGATTTAAACGAAATCTATTCGAAAATTCAAGGCTTTTGATTGGTTCATATTATAATGAGGGAAATAATCAAGATTAATCAGTATTACATTTAATTTTTTTATTCTTGTTTTTGTTTATTATTAAAAAGAGTAACAACCAACAAGTATTTTATAGAAAAATTATTGCAGAATCGTATACAGAAAAAAAATCGTAGAAAATTGATTTTTTTTCTTCGTAAAATGCTTATTTACTGAGATATTTTTAAGTTTCAAGTTAAAAGACTCACCCTGTATACAGGGTGTAAAGAAAATTAAGAATAACCTCTTTAGTGATAAATAATTAAAATAAACCATAAAGTTTGAGTTTGTAATAGACCTACCTGAAAAAGTTTTATTAGTTATTTTTTTAACTTAAATTACCAAATTTTAATATACCATTTTACTTCATTTTGAAATATTTGGTGCAGAATCGTTTTCTAAAAACTAAAACTAAATCCTTCAAAACATTATTCTAATTATTACCAATTTATAAACTTCTTAAAAACAAACAAAAACCTTATCACTTCCGTTAAACTAAACGCGCTCTATTAAGATATCCTCGAGATATGCTCGAGATAAATCATCGAGCTCACAATGGTTTATCAGCATTAACTTGTCCCGTTTCCCCGTTTTTTTTTTCATATAGAATCTTGTCTGAGGCGCGCGATCTGTCTGCATTTCCTAACCTGAACGGCACCACCGCCCTTGAAGTGCTTCGCCTCGACAGGGCCGGACTATCGAGTGTTCCGGCAACATTGTGCCTCACCTGCCCGCGACTCAAAAGCCTGTAAGTTATGACGTTTTGGCGTCCAAAGACGATACACAAAAACTAGTATGCTGATGTATGCCACGGTGTTGTTCTGAGAGGTGATTTTTGGACTTTCTGTGAAACCTAATTTTTTTTATATTCTTGTTAATTAGGTCATAACTAAAATTTTAAGAGCAAAATAAAAAAAATTTGACGGTTTGAATTGTTTTAATTGGCTGTTTATTAAAAATATTATGCACTCTTTCAATTATCCAATTAAAACTAGCGATTTAATTTAAATATTTAATATTTGCATAACTAAAAAAAAGGTTTTTACAATTTTTTTAATAAATTTTACTGTTTTGTTGCAATAAACGTTCAAACTTTTAATTCAACCTTTGACGTATACATTTATGTTCCCTTAATTAATATATCCTTAAAGGTTGCCATGAAACTTAGATCTATTAAAAATTTATTTGATGTTTAAATTGTCATTTTCAGTATACCTACGTATTCTATAATTTTTGTTTAGTTTTTTTAAGTGTTTTTTATAAACAAAAATGAAAATTTGTTGTAAAAGTTACGAAGAAATTCATGAAATTTAACTAAGGACCGGTTTATTCATCTTTAGTAAAGTTTATCGGGCTGATAACTTTCATGTCTTGGCAATATCTAGTATCCAAAGAAATTATTCGTCAAATAAATCAAAAATGAATAAATCGGCCCTAAATAAAATGTGGCACCCTAGAATTATTGTTTAATAAATATATACTATACATTTAACCTTAAATTAAAACTTTAAACGTGTATTACAACAAAACAGTAAAAGATATCAAAAATGTATAGACCTTTTTTTGGGAAATTAACTAATCTTTAATCTGATTTAAAAAGTTATGATAATATTTAAATAAAATCGCAAGTTTTAATTGGAGAATTGAAAGTGTGCATACATATTTTTAATAAACATCCAATTAAAACAAAATTAACCGTCAATTTTTTTTTATTTTGCTCTTAAAATTTTAGTTATGACCTAATTAACAAGAATATAAAAAAAATTAGGTTTCACAGAAAGTCCAAAAATCACCTCTCAGAACAGCACCGTGGTATGCGCATTAGGGTGTCCCTTATTTTTTTTTTTACGCATACCCTCTAATTATATTTATTACTTGTTTATATACTCCCAGTAAAAATTTCAGCTCATTCTATAAACGGGAACCCGTGCCGACTTGCATCTAAATTCTCCGTTAGCCAACGTTAGGCGCGCGCGGTATTTTGTAACACGAAACACTTTAAAAAGAAGATATACTTCATGACTGTATTTTTCTAATGATTTTATTAAATATGATTACTAATTAATATTATTGCTTTTGTTTCTATCATTTGTTTCACTAATTTAGTTGATTTTATCCCTTAAATATATTAATATACTAATTAGTATTGCTTAAATATACTGTTATATGAAATTTCAGCTTTTTATAAGCATTTCTTTTCTTGATATCCTCCCAAAAATATTTCAGACAGTTCAATAAGTTTTCGGTAGTCATCTCTCACAATAGACTCTTTTAGTTATTTAGAGTAAAACCCATTAAGTTTATCAATTTCAGAGTTTACGGCCTATTCACCAGACCCTTCCGGGTAACTAGCCACTCCCTGTGAAAATATACATTTTTATCAAAGTATACACATAAATAAAACTATATTTTAACATTTGTCAATAATTTATAATATAAGGGTCACATAATACAAAATGACTTACGATCGAAGACCTTGCGACCAACCGTGTTACAAAACGGAGGGTTCAGATGCAAGTCGGCACGGGTTCCCGTTTATAGAATGAGCTGAAATTCTTACTGGGAGTATATAAACACGTAATAAATACAATTAGAGGGTATGCGTAAAAAAAAATAAAAATAAGGGACACCCTAATGCGCATGTATAGCACCGTGTGACGTCATGTGCGAACCAAAAGCAAAACTCTTTGTAAAATTTGAATCTGGTTCGAAGAGTTTTTGTTTCATAACCAGCATACCGGTGTATGATTGTGTATCGTGGTCCAGAGTAAAAGAACCAGAACGTTCGTTTAAAATTTCGTTTAAGAGTTTTTTACTCTGCAAACTAATCCAAATCGTTTAACTAGCAAAACGATGTTTTTTCTCTCTACTTTTTGTTTCAGCGACTTAAAGTCCAACAAACTTACGGTCGTTCCGGATTTTAATCTCTGCAGAGATATGAGAGTGCTGTAAGTATTTATATTCTTTATATTTGTTTAGTTCCTTTTCGTTTGGGGTGGAAGTATAATATATTGCTTGCTGAATGGTAATATGGGTCATTATACTATTAAGGCCCTCTGCCATTTGTCAGTTGTCTCTATAGAGAAAAAAAATGTTATAGCATTTCTTATTAAAAAAATAATGAAACACCATATTCATAAATAAGAAATTATAATAACAAAAATTAAAAGACACTTTTTCAATTAAATATATTTTATCTTCACGCGGTGTATAATTTAAACTTTATTGATGTCAACATTTGATAAAGAAATACCTTGTTATGGCCTAAAATTTTATGAGGCAAGTAATTAGTTCGATTTTTTCTCGCTAGGGGTATTGTTTTGACAAATTAATCCTTTTCTAAGAAATTAACGTACTAAACTGGTTTAATTTATTTATAATAAGCACTAATATGTTTGTTTTACTGTTAATGTTTAATATTTTTTATTAAATTATTGTAAAATTAAATATGAGGTTAGGCAACCAAGAAAACGCACGATTCTTTTTCTACGATTTAAATTATCTATACGTTTTAATTTGCTTTAAGTTTTCAGTGAAATTAAATGTTAAACACAGCTTAAACATTCCAAACTACCTATTTTTTAAATAAAAATCCAAAAAATTGAAATTAGATACCTACCTATTTATTAAACAATTAATTGAATTCAATGTAATAGCAAAAATCCATTTCTACTTAAATTATGTAGCTAGGTATTGTCAAACTATTACTGCTTCTAAAAGCAATAATAATTATTTTACATTTTATGTAATCTTTAGCTAATAAATAAATGAGATTCTAAAAAAGTGAGGTTAGGCCGCTTTGATGTTGAATTAAATTGACCTATATAAAGTTCTTTGGAGATAAAATGTTGTATGCCATTCGGCCAAGAAGTGCCTTTTTGTGCTTCGCTCAATTGTAGGCCTCCGCTACGCGTCGGCCTTCAAACCTTGAGCTTAGCACAAAAAGCCTTACTTCTTTACCTAATGACATAAATAAATATTTAATGTCCTAATTAAGGTTTGAACTTACAGTATTGTGCGAATTATTGTGAACACAAATAGATTTACGTTAAATAATTTTTATTGAAAAACAAAATACAAACATTAGTAGTTTATAAATATTTTAGTATTTGTATTAGGGAATTTGTCCCCCTTTTGGCCTTTAATAAATTTTAACTCGTTTTGGCATAGAATTAATCAATGTTGCCATTTTCCTTTATTTTGTCATCTAGAAACCATACCTGAATGATAGCCTCAATCATCTTAGTTTTTGTTGTAGAATTTATTTTTAGCAACCTGTCCTTGCATATAGCCCACAAACTCTCAATAGGATTAATGTCCGGTGAGTTTACAGGCCAGTCTAGAAGGGTTACCTTTTTGTCCTAGTGTAAATTAGTCGCAATAACTGGCAAAATTACTATGGGATATGTTAAAACAATATAGAAATTCCTAATGTTCACATGAATTCGCACAATACTGTAGAATCACACTCTATAACCCCATATCCCCATCATATTGCAATAGTGAAAACTTGTATATATTTCATAGGTTTTGTATGAAACAGAATTCTAAAACTAAAATAAAATAAGAAATAAGTAGCTCCTTTACTAATTGTACACTAAATAAAAACGGCTTTGTTATCAAATACACTGGGCATTACATATAAAAGAACCCATGTAGTTTATAACTGTGGCAAGAGATGGCGCCGATGCATGCAATGGTATCGCTATTGTTATTTTGCGCGTTACAAACAAGCAGCTGTGTTTTTGAAGGTTATCTTTCGTCACGGCATTTACTTACTTACGGTAAGTATTTGAAGTATTTAATTTTTTTTTCATGTAAAGTAAACCAATCCCTTTTTTTTAATAATTGCAATGTTTTATGATGATTTATTGTGTCACATGGAAAATAGTTTTTTTATTGTGAAAAATGTATCTTTTGCCACATCTACGACATTAAAATTAAAAATAAGAGACTCTTTAAGAGAAACTTTACTGCTGAGAGTAACATTAAAATGTAAAATATTTATTTTTTAGAGGTAGATGGGGCTAACAAGTATAATGACCCATATACTTAAAACCACGTTAGTTTTTTATTATAATCTTTTTTTGAAATTGCTGTAAAAGTTGCAAAATTGGCGAATGCGCCGGGATTAATTTTAAACACCTATTTTATTTTAAACTTTCATCGATTCCCAATATTTCTTCTGCTCCACCTTTCTTATTGCTATCTTGCTAACTTTCAAGCGTCTCTTTCAGAGACTTGGCGAGCAATTACATAAAATCTATCGAGGAAAAACCGTTTCGCGGGATGTACCAAATGCACGACCTACTATTGGCAAACAATCAAATCCAATACATTCCGCAGGACGCTTTTTACAACTTGTCCAAATTGCAAGTGCTGTAAGTAGACATTATCCACTTGAAAGGAAAATTGATTTATTAATCTTCCTTTCAACGGTTTTCAGCGATATGGAGAACAACCAGATTTCTTTCATACATCCTGACGCCTTTCTAGCCATATCCAAGATTGAAGATCTGTGAGTTTTTTTATACGATATTTAGTATCAGTTTTATAAGTTAATCATCTTTTAGTAATTTGGGAAACAACGTTTTCTCGCATCTGCCGTCAGCAGGTCTGGAAAGACTTCTTCATCTCAAAACCTTCAACAATCCAAACTTGAGGGAGTTTCCTCCACCCGAAGATTTCCCGAGAATACAGACTTTGGTGTTGGCTTACGCCTACCATTGTTGTGCTTTTCTCCCCTTAATACCTTTAAACCCACCACCAAGCGCGAAAGATATTATAGTCTTTCCGGACATTGATGATATTGATTTGAACATATGGAACAGTTCTGTGGATTTATGGCCATCACAGCGTAAGTATCTACTCAACAACACAAGAAATTTCCTTACAGATTATTAGGGTAATTGGACGATTATTTAATTAAAACACTTTAAGTATTATCAATTTTTTTGGGAATTATTTCCTTTGTTGGTGTTTTTAGTGTAGGCATTTAAAACTTTTGTGCTAGTATCATTGCTTTCATTTTTGATTTTTATTTCGTGATCAAGTAGTCTAGTTTTAACAAAAGCTAGGCTTAGGTTGTCATCGGAAAGTGTTTGAATTGCTGTTACGACCCCGTCGTACGAAGATGGTAATGTTAATAGTAAATGTGCAACTTTACCCATTTCATTAAGGTTAGCTCCTGCAGCTGTTAATTCTATCATCATTTCATCAAATTCAATATAATGTTTTATTAGCGATGTCTCAGCCTTTAATTTAAAACCTTTTTCTGCACTGATAATTGTGTTGCTAAGCTTTTTCTTTCATAGATACTATCTAGTTTTTGCATAATATCTCGGGCTGTTAATTCTTCAGTGACAATTCCAATCATTGCGTCGCTAAGATGTTCAATTATGCAACCTTTTGCAGTTCTATCGAGTTTTTGCCACTCATTGGTAATGGTTTCTGGAGGATCTTGATCAAGAACTAGTAGAACGTCTTCTTCACTAATTAATGCCCTCAAACGAAATTTCCAGATGCTGCAATGTTCTCCATTGAAGGGTTTAATATTTCGTTTAATTTTTTTATCACTCGGCATTGTCACTTTAGTGTCACTTTTCACAAATTTTATTTAGTTTTGTTTTAGTTAAGTTTTTATTTTTAACGTTACTATTTCACCACACTAATAATTAATAAACGTATTCTGAGCCCATAACCTATTAGGGTAATTGGACGATTATTTAATTAAAACACTTATTAGGATAAACATACAGAGTGGACTACGTGACATTTAAGCAGCATTAGTTTTTGGATATTTCAATACAGAACATTTGTTTTCAGAAAACATAAGTCACAAATTCGGCAAAAAATTCGAAGCGATCTGGGAAAACATTCGATCGGATTTCACCTACCCAGGTAACTTCCCCAGCTACATGGAGGAATACGCTTCGGAAGACGACGCTCAGCTTCGCCCGGGTGAAGCCGGAGTCCCCGGAAAAATCCAGTGTCTACCCTTGCCGGGTCCCTTTCTACCCTGCCAGGATCTCTTCGACTGGTGGACGCTACGTTGCGGCGTTTGGATTGTTTTTCTGTGCGCCATGTTGGGCAATGGCACCGTGGTTTTCGTTCTGATTTTCAGCAGGAGTAAAATGGATGTGCCCAGGTTTTTGGTTTGCAATTTGGCGGCTGCCGATTTTTTTATGGGCATTTATTTGGGTAAGTGATTTTTTTACGGTTCTTTGCTAGAGAAAACTGCTTTTGGGTTTAGACATTGTTATGATTAAGTATCCAAAGTTTCGTCTTTTAATAATAAAGACATCTTAAGGGTGTTTAATACACGATACACAAAAATCGCACATTCACGTTTTATTCGAAAATTTATAAATATAGGGACGGCCTGGGTGGAATTATTAAGTGTAACAAATGTTAAGAGAAAGTTAAATTGGCAGCCAGGGCTTTTAATACTAATGTAACATATTTTAATTTCTTAAAGTGTCAAAAGTAAAAAAAAATCTCAAAACTGCTTTTTTTACTTGTGACACTTTTGAAGCGGGTTTCCGATACAATTGTGCTTTAATTTTTATTATTAGTAAGAACTTATGCAAGCTGTAAAAAAATATGTGGTTATGGTAAAAAGTTACTATAAGTTACTGTAAGTACCTAACAGAAAACTGGGTATACCTAGAGATGTAAAAAACGGTTTTTTCAGATGTGAAAAAAACATGAAAAAAATCCGCTACAGTAAAGAATATTCTGTCAAATAACATCAGTCTTAAAAAAATGGAGTATTTTTTCAAAATGAAATTTTGAGTAAAGTGTATATTAATAATAAAGTGAAATGTGAAATATATTTTTCATTACTGAAAATTTTGACCGAGGCTAAAAAATCTGATTTCTTATTATTTGGTAGTTTCCACATAAGAAACCAATAACAATGTAAAACTTCTACACTAATGGAAAAAATTAAAGGATAAAAAAAATTCCATTCGATTTTTCGGATAGCTGTATCTTCGTTAAAAATGGTCGTATAGGAGCCGTAATAAAATCAATTTGAAGCTTGAAGTTACTAGTTTTGAGATTTTTAGATGAAAAAACACATGCACATTTTTCGCTCAGATATAGGATAATTGAAAGATATAAATTAAAGTCAAATCATTAGATGACACTGTATACAATTATAACTATTTCAGTCGGTAATAATATAGAACTACTTTATTTTGGGTCCAATATAGGACAAAAAAGTTCGCTCGTTACTTTGGTGGTAAGATTTTTGTTTTTTTTGTCAAGAGCAGGGCTGTGTTTAAATTACAATAAAAAATATTTCTAAAAAGTTAACAGATCAGTGTGTGGTATAAATGTGTTCCTCATGGTTTAAACATTATCACTTTAATGCGATTTAATTTTAATTCTGAAAACAAACAGTAAAATGGCCAGTGTCCAATTACTGGTTGGTAAAAAATGTAAATTTTTATTATTGGACATATTATGTCCAATATCCTACTCTATTTATATCCCGGACATTCTTATGTAAAATTGTCCCCTGAATCCGAAAAGACCTATAAACTATAAAAGTTAAGCAGTTTTTGAGATATAGTCAATTCCATATTATAGGTAAAATTGATTACATTTCAAAAACTGTTCTACTTTTCTAACTTTTGACGACATTATCGGATTCAGCGAATAATATTTTATAGGAATTGACTGCTAAATATCCTGGATACAAATTGTTGGTGACGAGAATTATTACTGGCTGCTTTTTCGCTATCACATTTTTACCTAATTCATTTTTAAAGAGTAAGTAATATAGTGATTTCTTCGTCACAGGACATCTTGTAGAATAACAGTGATTAAATACAGTGCATGATAGAGAACATAAAAAACTAATGGCAACAAAATTAATAAATTCGGAAAATACTTTTAACATACCACCCGAAAAAATATTAGATATATATATAAATCATCCTGTTCCGGTCTAAACATTATAAATGCTTCACAAACTAGGCAAAAACGAATAAAAACAATTTTGATGTAAAGTTGTTATGTTTATATAAAAATTGTATGTCCAATAACTATGGTCCATGTGTCCAATTACTATTATTAAAAATTCAAATATTCTTATTTCATAACCAGAATACCGGTTTTTGTGTATCAGGGGGATTAAACTAAAACTGTTTCAGAGACATCTTCATGTTTAACAGTTTCAGTTCAATCCCTAAAGATGTCTCTAGTATTATTGAGTTTTCTCTAATAATTGCGGCCGTTAAAGCTTCCGATCTAAAATCCCCGACTGAATGCACTTTAAAGTCCCCAATGCATCGGATAATCAACGTAACATCTGACATTTGGGTTAATTGGCAGGATTCCTGGCGGTAGTCGACGCGTCCACCTTGGGAGAGTTCCGGATGTACGCGATCCCGTGGCAAATGTCGCCGGGATGTCAGTTGGCCGGTTTCCTGGGCGTCCTCAGCTCCGAACTTTCCGTGTGGACGCTGGCCGTCATCACGCTGGAGCGAAACTACGCCATCACGCACGCCATGCATCTCAACAAGCGTCTCTCCTTGAAGCACGCCGGCTACATAATGATATGCGGCTGGGGATTTGCCATCATGATGGCTGTATTGCCCATATTCAGCATTTCGGATTACAGAAAGTTCGCCATATGTCTACCGTTCGAAACTAAAGACGCTGGGAGTTTAACCTACGTCGTTTTCCTGATGTTCATCAACGGAATAGCGTTTTTAATCCTGATGGGTTGCTATTTGAAGATGTACTGCGCTATACGCGGTTCCCAAGCCTGGAACAGCAACGATTCGCGTATCGCCAAACGCATGGCTCTTCTGGTGTTCACGGATTTTTTATGCTGGTCGCCCATAGCTTTCTTCTCTCTAACGGCAGCGTTTGGTCTGCAGCTCGTCACTCTAGAGCAAGCCAAAGTATTCACGGTTTTCGTCCTACCTTTAAACTCTTGCTGTAACCCCTTTCTGTACGCCATACTCACAAAGCAGTTCAAAAAAGATTGCGTTATGATATGCAAAGCTATAGAAGAAAGTCGCGTCACCAGAGGCATTGGAAGATGCCGACATAGTTCTAACTTCAGCAATCGGCAGACACCTGCAAACACCAACAGCCTGGCTGATAGGTAAGATTCTTTTAAGTGAGAAAATTTGGTGTGTAAGGGTCAATTTCAGATCTTCAAGAGAAAACCAGAACCACCACGTGCCCACTTGCACGTGCAATGTTAAGTTACTGGGCAACCAAACAACTCCCGAGCCTAGAATCGATAGGAAAGCCAGGACTAGGGAATGGTTGCTTAGTAAAGCTAGATGGTTGCTGTGTGTTCGAAGACCTGCTCGGCACAGGCCTAGGAATGATCAGTACACTTATCAAATAGCTGAAATACAGCAGAAACAACATAAGAGGGCTTCATCTGTCAGTTCCAGCGAGAATTACAGCTCATCCAGGTAAATATTTTATTCTGGAATAAAAACTATTTGCAACCACTTTTCTTCCCTATAAGATCTGACTCTTGGAGGCACAATCACCACTGCGGCATCCCTCTGAGGCTTCTGGATCCCAAACGCAGGGCCTCCTCGTGGCTGGTGACTAGAAAAACGTCGCAGGACTCGAATCTGTCGAGCTCGCGGAACGATTCGTCCGGCTCGGCTACCACGGCCAGCACGAGCACCTGGAGGATCAGCAGGTCGAGCGCCAGCAGCGAACCGTCGAGGATGAGGTCGAAGCCCAGGCTCACCAGGCAGTGCGCCATACAGGACGAGGCGGATCCTCCGGGAAGTCCGGGAAGATTGACTGTCAGGTAAATGATTTTTTTTCTCTTGTCGTTTCACTAGTCGTTTTTACACGATTTTGTTGGTTTTTAACAAAGCTTGCTTTAAATACAGGTGAAATGAATTTGAAGCCAGCTTTTTTAAAAACATACGTCGTAGACACAATCAGAGCTGGGAAAGTTACTTCTGAAAAGTATCTAGTTACTTTTCTAAGATACTTTAAACAAAATGACTTAGTTACCTCGGGTAACTAGATACTCTGAGTTAAAAGTATCTTTAGTTACAAGATACTTTAAAAAGTTTTTAAGGTACTATCCGAAAGTATCTAAGATACTTTTAAGTTACTAAGATACTTTTAAGTAACTAAGATACTTTTGAGTTACTAAGTTACTTTTAAGTATGAATAAAAACTTAAAATTATGAAAATTCATGTTTTAGGTTAGGTAATTACTTTGAATCATTCTGGAATCCCCCAATTTTCTTTAAGAAAGTATTAAGTTACACTGAAAAGTATCTTAGTTACTTTAAAAAGAATCTTAGTTACTTTAAAAAGTATCTTAGTTACTTTAAAGTATCTAAGTTAATTAAATGTATCTTAGTTAATTTAACGAGTAACTAAGATACTTTTTTAGATAAAAGTTACAAGATACTTTTCCAAAGTATTTAAGTTTTAGATACTTTCTGTCAATATAAAAAGTATCTTAGATACTTTAAGTATTTAAGTTACTTTTAAGTATCTTTTTTTTCAAGATACTCCCAGCTCTGGACACAATCTCATTACAATATAGGGTGATTTTGGGATTATAAGGATTATTTTTGGTAAAGCTGTTCTACCTCCTGAAACTTGAAAACCCAAAATTTTAAATTTTTTTGAACGATAGTTTTTCTTCTATGGATTTTTAAAAATCAAGAAATTTACCAATTCTGATTCTGCAGGCTCTTAAAACCACAGATATATCTCAGGAACTGTATATCACTTGAATACGTTTTATTAAAAAAAAATAGGAATTTTTGGGAATGTCAAATCAATGTTTAAGTAGAATAATTACCAAATTTCAGAATAGAGAAATAAAATGGTCAGTTTAAAAAAATTAAAACCTTAGAAACAAAAAAATATTAAAAATAACCCGTTATAGAACGATACATAATATTTAAAAAATCCAAATATTACAGATTTTATATCATTTTAAATATTTTAATATTAAAAAAAAAATAAATAATAAAAATTCAAAATCGTATTAAATCTGTAATATTTGGATTTTTTAAATAAAATTTGTCGATAAATTATAGTAGATTATAAATTGTACCACTTTAATTTGAATTATCTCAAATACGGGGCCACGAGGCGGGCGAGGGGACACGAAAAACTAACTTTTTTTTCGCAAACTTCAACTTGAATTCTGTTTGCGCCGAACTTGTCTATTTAATGTTATTATAAACTATTATAAATTTGGTGTGGGTCCCATGTCCGATTTTTATTGCCAGTTTCATGCAAGTCTGGGGGAAAAATTGGTAACTTGTTTCATACCAATCCACACTTTAAATTCCCTAGAGACGCTGGTTTGTTTTTTGAAGTCATGTGTGTGTTGTTTCTTGTATTCTAAATTCTATAACATAATATCCAGTTCATTTTTTTTATCTGGACTCGTGTTTTTTTGTTAGGTTGGTGGCTTATGCCAGTTTGACTTAGTATTTTTAGTATTTAAAAATGGTACTTCTGTTGAAGACCTTAATTAAATACTCTGACACTGTCAAATTGACAGTAATATTTATTATTGATAATTAACTTGTTAATTATAAATAAAAAGATAATTATGCCAAAAATAATAGCAACGAATTCGAATGTAAAAGCCCTTGTGAGAGCAAAACATTTTGATAAAATTATGCCAAATATCACAATGGAAGAAAAAGTACATCGCCTTATGGACATTTTTGGAGTAAAAAAGTAACGAATTTGGTTTTATAAATATTATATCACACATTATTTTCACATTATTCACCATTGGACAACATTTACGTTCACAAAAAATTTTAATTTTTTTATATAAATTCTTTTCAAAGCTAAGATTATTATCCGCTAGGAATACTTTCTCTTCTGGGCCGTAAAGCAACCTATATTTAACTACTTTTTTATATGATTTTACTCATCCAACACAACCAAAGCCAAATTAATTGCATTTTTAACTACGAATTTCGACAACTCAACTTGACATCTGCACAATGTATCCTACAATAATTTATACATAACCACAATTGGATTTATAACTAGCTTAGTTTGTTTTAATCAATGCGACCAACTTGACAACTGTATACCAACCAATCCCTAAATTTGCATTTCAAGGTTATTCAATAAACACAAAATTGTGAGTTACGGATTAAATCGTTGTATAAACTGTTTCATAGCAGATAGTACGATTTAACTTTTATGCTTATGCACTAAATTGTGAATTATAAAATAAATTAATGATATGAAGTTGTATAAACCCGCCATTATAATATTTTATAAATTTTTCTTCGGTTGGTATCATGCAAGTTGGAATTGCAAAGTGTTTTACAGTCAGCAATAAAACTTGCATGCAAGAAATATTGCAGCATGTAATACGGTCTTAAGGAACTACCAATTTTAATATATTACATAACTCCCTGTAGTGTAATTAATAAAAGTAATGGTTACTTGAATGCAAATTTAAGATTCCTGACGACTATCCCGTCGGCGGCGGAGAACAGCATGCAGCTGGAGGACGAGCAGCCCACGATCCTCGTGAGTCCTGTGAAGGAGCGCGAGGGTCCTCTGTACGCCATCCTGCACACGGCGCCCGTGACGCCGATACGTCGGCAGTCCATCGTGACGTTGCATCCCATCGAGAGCACCGCCACGCAGGACGCATCTAGTCAGGTTAATAGTAACAATCACAAGGCCGAGGCGGCGGGACCTTCGACGTAATAGACGTGTAGATAAGAGAGCGAATCCAGCAGGGTGTAAATAATTTGCGAGGTACTTACTTGATTGATGAAGGGGCTTAAGGCGGTTTCATACAGACGCGAAATGCGAAACACGTTTCAAAAGATACTGCAAATTCGCAAGATTTAAAATCTAGGGGGCGGGAATCTTGAGATTGATCCAATATTTTGCGTAAATAATAATAATAATAATAAAAACTTTATGAACGGTTTACCATTTTACAATTTTAAATATAATTAAAGCATATGACAACATAGAATTGAAAAGAGATATTATAAACGTCCTTAATGAAAAATTCATTGGCATCACAGCATAATCGATTAAGTGGCATAAATTTCGCGTACTTAGTTCTATGCCTTTTTGTGTAAATTAATTTATTTTGTCGAGGTATATTAAAATGAATTTCCTGAAGCAATTCAGGACTAGGTATTTATTAAATTATTTAATATTTTTATAAAAAAAGAAGGCCGTGTACTGTTCTGTTACTTAAAAATTTTAAATTTACCATATTTCTTACAAGAAAGTAGTTATATTGTGATATTAATGGATGGACGTAACTATTCTTGTAAAAAAGGAAAAGTTATTTTTCATAATTTATTTTGCTTGTTATATAATTTCAATTCGCGTTGTGAAACATCCATTTTGTTGTACAGGGTGAGCAAAAATACTTATTTTCAAAATTAAAAATTTTAAATATTTTTTTTGAAGCGCTAATATAAAGAGATGGTAAAGAGATTTTTTATATGAGTTTTTGATAATAAGATATTTGTTTTTAAATTTTAACAAATAATTGTAGACATGTCAGTTGAAAGCAACAACCTTGAGTCATAATCACAAAATGAGATAGCAGTCAATTTCTACAAAATAATAGGACCACTCAAGTTAGCACCTGAATTGATTTTATCATGAAAAAACTTTATTTGGCTTTTTGGTTTCTCCTTAGAAGCTCTTCATATTAGACCTTAAAAAAAATATTTAACAATTTTTAATTTTGCAAAATCTACAATTGTATTTTTTATACGTATTACAAAATAGAAGTTTCTCATCGTGAATGGTATTTACATAACAAGTACAAGAAATTATGAGAAGTGACTTTTCTTCGAAAAATTGGAAATAAATATATTTACAAGTATAGTTAAGTAAATCCGTGGACACACCGTATATATTGGGGTGTTTCAAAAAAAACTTTTTTGTTTTTTTTCTCGGAATCACGCTCAAAAGTTTTATATAGATATAAAAATGAGCCTGTGGAGAGATGAGCTCTTAATTTCAAAATTACGATGCTCCGCATCTCACTTTTCGCTTTTCCAAAAGAATAATATAGGAAAAATTATTTTTGTTCCTTCTGATTTTGGAAAACAATGTCCGTAAAATAGTTCGCATCTATATTAAAAAGGAGTTGCGAAATGCGAATATTCGTATTTCGCATCTATATGAAACCAACTTTAGGGTTCAACTGGTATTTTGCTTTTTTGTAAGGGGATGTTTTTTGGGGTCTTCATGAAGATTCCTACTATTAATATTTATTGGTTTTTGCATTTTTGAATAGTTTTTTCGTCTTTATCTTAAAACGCCACAATCACATTTTTTTGCTTCATCATTTTCTTCACAATCTGTGGTACTTTCCGGATCAAAAACTTGATTTCTTAAAATTATATTCTCAATAAGCGATATATTTCGTTATATAATAAAATTATATCTTTCGTTTCATTTGTCCCTGAAATGCCTGTACAAAATAACCACACATTCCTGACACCAAAATAATGCGATATAACTAAATTTACCTCTTTTATGAGAGTTTAACAAGAACTTGGAGAAAGCTTTTCTCAAAAGTGAAACACAATGTTTTTTCTACGACCCTTTTATTTTTTATTATTTTCAAATACGTAACAAAATAACTTAAAAACGTGTTTGACAGCTGTTAAAGTTACTTTAATCTTATTCTTTTAATTTTTAAGGTATAAGTTACTTAAAATCAATAAACTTACCTTCTCAATTTAATAAAGGCAATAAAAATTAGAATCTATTAAACAAACAGAATTAATTGTGTTCTAAATGATATTTAGACATACCTATGCAAATACAATAAAAATTTTAATAAAACGAAGAAATCGAGCAACGATGCCTTTACGAAATGTGACTTTTACATGGTTGTCGAAGAAAAAAGTTTATAGTAATAAAATTTATATTCGGGGGGTTTCCAGGACGCGAAAATTAGATTTCTTAAAAAAATAATGTGGGTTGTAGAGTTCTAACTAAATTTGTGGCCTCCCTGTAAAAAAAAGCTTTTGTTTTTTCCAATGTTATTTAATAAAATCAAAAACGAACTTTTAATTTTTGACACCCTGTATCTTGGTTATTATCAACCTTTGTATAGAAAGAAAATTTATTTATATCACATTATTTTGGTCTCAAGAATAAGTGGGATTATTTTTACAGGCATTTAAGGGACATCTATAAAAACAATATATAACCATTTTAAGATTTTGGACCATATTAATTTAAATTATCCGAAATGGCTAAAAACCCCTAAAAAGGCAAAATATCTAGTGGACAGTGTTTTTAAAAGCTAATCTAAAAAAATTAGTTTTTAATATGCAAATCATTTATTTGTATTTTGGATTAATTTTCAAATAAGTAAACGTTTAAGATGTCGTAATATACCAAAACACAGCACTATAAAAACTTATAAAAAGCGTAGTATTTATGTTATTTATTTTTATATTATAAGTAGTTATATGAAACGAAAGCTGCCATTCACTAATATTCGCACTGCCATATAAAGTTGCTCAACTATGAAAAAGGACAATATTTTTATTTATTTATTAATTTATTTATTGTATTTATGAAATGATGGCACCTTTCGGATTTTGTAATTTTTTATAGTGAAGGTTTACCAAAAGTTTTACCTAATTTAGCGATGGGCATTACAGTTTGAAAGAATAAAATTGTACGTGGGATTTTTTCACTGCAGTGTCCTATTTTTTGTACTATTTATTAATTTGTATATAAATATATATAAAATACGAATGCGTGATATGTTTAGATTTAAGCGAAAATAATAACAATAAGTGATAAATGTAAATTATATTTAATTAATACAGAAATGTTATTTAATATTTATACATAAAGAAAAAACGTTCCATGTTATTTATAGGCCGTATAAAATGAGAAAAAATAAGATAAAAATTCCAATGTTACTCATAGTATTACTATATTCTATTACTGTATACAAAGACTACCTCCTAAATACATACAAAGACTTAAATAAAATATACACTAAAATTAATTTCATGGTATAAATTTTACAATTTGCAAACTTCAATTGCATACAATACAAGGTAAGTACACTTTTATTATACTTTATGTAAAACAGGTTAAGTAATTTTGAGGCACTTCATTGAAAAACTCAAACAGAGTTAAATCTGGAGACTGCGCGCCAAAAAATATCACCGAATCTGTACCCTGGATTTTTTCAGTTGAAAACACCTTTGAAGCAATAAAATTAATTATTTAACTCTTGGAGTACATAAAATAAAATCTTAGGCAGCAGACCAACATTTTTTAAATACAGGGTGGTAACAGAAGCCGTAAAGAAAATTTTATGATTTTTGGAAAAAAAAATCCAGGAAATAAATTAACATAATTTTTTGCATTCCCGTGAAGTCTGAATCACCATGTCAAAATGTATTTACCAGGAAACAAGAGATTCTTTGGAAATCATCCAATTTTTTATATAAAAATAATTTCCCATCTTTTCCGTTTATTGGTTCTGCTCGACTAACTTATACACATTGTTTAATTTTAACTTTCATTAGTTAACATCTACCTATGTAAAAAATATACAAAATCTAAAACGATGGCCTTGAAGGGAGTCGACCTATTGACCTTGACGTAGATAGAGGCACTTGGTTTTTGTTTATGTCTATGGTATCGGGCTCTATTTTGCTCAGTATCAGGTCTCTATTGCGTTTGAATTCCTCGAATTTTTTGTTGAGGAGGTTCAGTTCCGTCGAGGAACACGCCACCGGAGCTGAGTCGTCCACATTGTCTTCATCTACTTCCTAAAATAAGATATTGAGAAATCTTTAGGATTTATTAATTTAGGACTTCATGATTTCTCAAAGAGTGTTTTAAAGGGGAAATATTGAGTTTTGTGGAAAAATACCCCGTCATGAAATATACCATTAAATATTTTCACTTGTGGGAAAACCTGTTGTGATGAAACTAACGTAGTCATTTAATTACAAAAACGTAAAGGTAGTACTTTTTTTACCTGAATTTCAGAAAATGTGACAGGTTGAGTTCGATATCTATTGCTATTTCCTCTTCTTTTTTTGGGTATAACCCTCCTATTTAACCTCGACATGGGTTCCGGATATATGGTATCCATTGCTATAAGTAAAAAACAGGTACTTGGGTAAAAATAATTTTTCGAAAACATGTTCGCCTCAATATGGGGGTTATTTAAATAAAAGTACAATAGAAAAAACCGAAAGGAACATTCGGAAAATCAAAAAAATAAAAATTCGTACAACTTTGAATTAATTTGTATAGATGGCGTTCGTAGCTGCCCTTCAAAATAAATAACTATTAAACTCGGAAATTGCTCAACCGATTTAAATATTTTTTTGTTTTGTTCTCCTTCATACAGTGGTGAAATGAAGTGTAATTTAGGACTTTTTGACATATTTAACATATTTTTGTCACCGGAAATGCTCTTAATTAAGTTAATTAAATTATTAAAGATTTAAGAGTAATTCTTTATATTTTTGCAAATTAATTTTGGTTAAAATAATAAAAAGTAAGTATTTCATACCTAAAAGTAAACTTAAACACAAACAATTCCCAAAAATTTTGATCGGTTAACAGATATGAGTGAGGCAGTCGCGAAACTTTTTTTTGACTGATAGATTTATCTATAAATGCCGACATCCTTGGCGAAAAGTACTTAAAGCACTTTATGTTTTGTTTTGGGAATATTTCTAATATTTGTTTAAAAGTTGTAATTTTTTAAGTACAAGCTTTATGACAAAATATGGTAGATGATAGCTTGGCAAATTCTTAATTATTTTTCTTACTTTCGTTACAAACATTTACAAAATATACAGAGTATTATGAAAAGCACTTCATACTAAAAATCACAAGTTATTATGTTGTTTTCAATTCTTGTGCTTTGGGTTTGTGCTGTTTATACAGATTAATAATCGTTTTAAACGTTGTGTTTCTTACAGAGGCACTTGTAAGCCTCAAATAAGGCCTTTAAGCGCCAAGGACAACCACTTTACTCCTCTTTTGTAAAAAATAAACCTTTATCCAAAATCGGCAGTAAAGTAGTCAACAATCGGCAGTAAAGTAAAAGAAATCGGCAGTAAAGTACTTTACTGCCGATTTCTTCTACGTAGAACTAACTGACAGTTTAATGACAGCCCTGATAGAATAAGGTAGCAATGAAAAATCATTAATTAAAAAAATAAAAATTAACATTAGATGATTAGACATTTAGATGCTACTAAGAGTTCGCAGTTTTTGTCCACTGTATCGTTTAAGCCAAACTTTGTCATGGAGCTTGTAGAACACCCTGTATGTGAACAAGTATTTCTGAGAAACGGAAAAATGTGTCACGTTTTTTAAAAGAAGTGTGAAAATACATAAAATATAACAAATATAAATTAAGAAGCTTGTAAACATCTTGTAAACTTGTTTTTTATTTACTCTATAATTAAAATCCTTTATTTTGACATTTAGAAACTCTCGTTTGTTTTTTACGATGGTTCGTTGAACGTGCCAACATACTTTGTCCACTTGCACATTTATTTATTTACTATTTTTTCTTTCAAAAAAACAAAGGCGAAGTTTATCACATGTTCATTCATTGTCTAAAAGTTAAAATTTTGGTATTTTATTTAAAATATATGTTTCAGAATCTTTGAGATATGGCAAACATAGTGTTTTGCGCCGCCCTGTATACAAATGTCTATAGAGTTGTTATAATAATACAATTCGGAGAATTGATTTTAACCAGTGAAAGCTAAATTGTATATTATGAATTTATTTTATGAGGTTGTACCAAGAAAAACGCTCATAATGTTTGTTTTATATTTTAGTGCAACCATTAACGTCAAAATATAATAAATATTATTGTACATACGCAGACGTTTAGGTGTAAAAACACACCAATTAAGTTTAATTTCTTTCTACAAAAGTTCTGCGCTAAATATAACAAACTGTTAAGTGATAATAATTTCCAGTTGGGTTTGAAATAGCTCCGAAAAGTTTTAAATGATGAGTCAGTTTCCCAAATGCATTCGTCCTAAATTCTCAAAAAAAAAACATATTTTTGGCCCACATACTTTATACTTATAAACAAAGCGCATATCTAAGGAGTACTTACATTGAGTTGGAGAACTTAACGACGGCATTGTGTCACTAAATATTGTTTAAACAATCACAGTTTTTCACGCAGTTTTCAGTCGGAACAGCTGTTGGTTTTCAGGTTTCAGTGTGGCGATCGAAATAATTTAATCTAATTTTAAACTGGGGAAACGTTCGCGATCGGTCGTTTTCTTTCAGTATTTTTCAGCCTACGTCGAATTTCAGGAGGCGCAATCATATTCCGCGCATTTTACGCGTTTAATTGTTTCAGAATAAATATTTGCGGCGGCGTGTTTCGAGCAGTGCACTGCGGGAATAAGCCGTTTGTTGTTTATGCATGCGAGCAGTTTGATAAATTGTTTTCTTTTATTATTTACACTAATTATCGCTTAAACTTGCGTTTACTTTTCATATTTTCCGTGTAAATATTTTCATCTATTGTTAGACTGGTCATGGTACTTTTGACGTACCTACTTTATTTATTAATAAAATCAATCGTTTATCGGTTATTAAATAATATACCTATACATTTTTAATTTAAATACATAGGTACATTTCTTTTTTATTGCCCAAGAAAAATATGAATATCGAGAAAAAATGCACTTAAGTTAATACTTACTCCTTACTTTGAAATAACATTAAGGTTTTTTTCCCATAGCTTAGTTAAACTGATTTTTATAGGAAATTCAATTTTCTATAAAAACGGTTTTTTGCAATAATGCAATAAAATGTATAGTAAAAAAGTTTAAAGAAATTAAATTAGGACCTCTTTTTGTTGTGGATACGGTTCTGGATATGTAAGCACTTGAGCAATTGAAAAGATATTTAAAAAGCAAAGAAAAATTATTAAATTAATAAAAAGTTTATTAATAAAGACATAAAAAACAGTTATATTTGAAAATTATCATCGCTTTACGCTAATAAGGTAAAACTGTCAAAAGCCACATATACAATCCAGACATGCATATGTGTCGCATATCTCAACAATATAAATAATACAACAAAATCAAAGTTATCAATATGAATATAATCAATTATATTATCATATTGCTAAGATTATTCACCATATAATAAGCTGGGACGGTGTAAAAAAGCAAATACAAATTGATATAATTATCAATGTAATGTTGTTAACAATAATATAAAACATAAAGTATAATATAACTTAAAAGGTCATAAAAACCAATAACAAGTGGTACAGTAGTGGACAACGGAAATGCAATTTAATTGTACAGTAATAAATAAGAAATACAATCCGGTATAATAAAGTAATAAAAACATGTAAGTGCAAATCAAATATAGCAAAATGACATGATTTTCAATATTAATAAAATAAGACAATACAACTTCATATCAATAACCCAAGCTAACCATTCTTTGTCAATCTAAATTGGTTAATAAAAGATATAAGGATTTTAGTCTCAAATATTGAATGTTGTTTTACGGCAAAACGGTTTAAGTTACAGGTAAAAAGTAAACATATATTTATATAAAATTCAATTTTTGTAAAAAAAAGGGCTTATGTATTAATGCAATAAAATGCATAGTTTAAAGGATATAAAGCATTTAACAAATATTGATAAACCAATTAGTGCAATATTCGTTTACGACACAACAAATAAAGTTACAGGTAAAAAGTAAAAAATACTTTTAAAGGAAATTCAATTTCCTACTAAAATCTTTTTATGCATTAATGCAATAAAATTTATAGTTTGGAAGATATAGACCAATTAATTAATAAATAAATGATACATCCCACTGAGCAAAAAAACGTAAAATATATGTAAAATTGACGTCAAAGGTTGTAGTGTGACGTATAAGAATCTTGTAAAATAAACGTCACATAAACGTCGCTGTGATGTGCCTATGTCCGGATCCTGGGCCGTGAATTAGCCCTAACCGTTACGTGGATAAGGAGACATAAAAATTACGTTTTTAAAAGAACGTAAAAATGCCATTTTATTATGGACGTATAGGTTTTGTTTCCACTTGTACTTATTAGTTACGTTTTTTTAAATAAAACTACCACTTTGGGAATATTTTTTTTTAATTAAAATAAATTATAAAAATAAAACATAATTAGTCTGGTAAAAATAATAAAAATAAAAAATACCGCCTAATTAATTTTCGGCCTCATTCTCATGTCCAAATTTGGCCAAAAAACGTTATGAGCGTTGCTTGGCGGTTTGGAACAACTCCTTGCTCTCTTTATCGAAATCACTTTCAGTCAGACGAAATAATTTCATACTGGCTTCTAAAACAAACATTAATAACTTAAGTTATCTAAGTAATTAAGTATATAAAACTTATATAACTTGCCTGTCGCTCGGCGCAAAATTTGTCTCCCATGTTTACTGGTGTATTAACTGAAAAATCAAATTGATTAAAAGACTTTTCTTTAAGTCTAACAGCATTGATTAATATTACTTCTCACTCAACGCTAACATTTAAATCAACAAAATTCGATAACCACTAATAGCGCCATCATGGCGATATTGGGACAATTAATTAATTATATTATAACTGTATGGTTGCAAACAAATGATAAAGCCAACTTACCTAAACCGTTCAGTCTCGCCTATGGAGAACAATGCGTTTTCTATCACACAGCAACAAATAGCAACACACTGTGTTGAACACAGAACAATGGCAGTCGCAACGCAAACAGAGTATGCCTGTTACAGGGCCCCTTTTATACCGATATATCGACTGGAAACGAAATTACCCGAGTCCTTTTTTACGTAAATTTTACATAAAATATACGTTTCTTAATCTCACTATGCGATAATAATAGAATAATTATTATTTTATAAGCGGTAATATTAATTAATAAATCACTCTGAGATTTATAATAAGTCATTAAAATAATAATTGTACCTACTTACATTGGTTTGGTTTAATCTAAAATTATGAATTAAATTTGGTATTTAATTATCTAAGTATACACTCAAATTTCCAACAAAAATGTAAATGTGGCATATATTTTAATGTTTATCATTGGCCAATCTATCCCATTCATATTTATCATGTGTCACATTGGTGACGTAAAATGTACGTTGTGTTTTGCACCTAATACGCTAAAGTAAAATAAAAGGCATAGACTGGACGGTATAGTGACGTGCTCGACAGCACCTTTTATTTTTTAGCGTAATTTTTACGTAAATTGAACATCACTAAAACACGTAGTTAATGTGCCTTAAAATTGACAATTTTTAAACGTCACTGTGACATCACCACATCCATAATGTTCAGTGGGATGTTGATGCAGAAATGAGTTTTATTGATATTTGACAGTAATATTTATAAAATGCTCCATATCTTTTAAACTTTAAATTTTGTTGGATTAATGCATGGAATCTTTTTTATGGGAAATCGAGTTTTCTATTTAAAACTTAATCTTTTACCGTTTTGACGTAAAAGACAAAACATAGTTTTTTTATTAAAAATATGACTATATTTTAATGTAAAAGTTTAAAATCAAAATAAAATTACTTGGGAGTAAGATTAAAGGCTAAAATTTTAAGGGAATTATATATGTATATAATTTGCTCAAAATTATTAATATTATAAATAATTTAAAAAAACCAAATTCAAACTATAAATTTTCAATTACCGAACCTAAAGCCTTTGTTTAAAAAATCTAAATATGTGAATTTATAATAAAAATTTAAAAATCTTTTAAAATTATTAAACATTTAACTTGTAAAACTATCTTGGTGTAAAATCTTCACAAATAAACTTTGGGTCAAAAAATTCTAAAAAATATTCTAAATTAACTAAATTTTTGTTATTTTAATCAATTTAGATTATATACTTTTTAATCAATGTTTTTGAAGTAATTTAAAAAACTCCTTAAACTAAAAGAAACTTACCCCAAAAAAATTCTCTGAAATAAATACATTTAGTTAAATATTTTCATGGGTTAGAAAAAAACTCGTTTTAATTAAAAGTTCTTTTATTTTCGTGTAAATAATAAATTAATAATACCTAACATTAATATTCAAATGTAAATATGAAAAAATTCTCACTTAAAAAGATTAGTATAAAAATATACACCAAAAACATAAAATACAAATATAAATGTCGCTATTATTGATGTACATTTAAATTTCCATAGTTAATCTCAAATTGGTAACTATAAAATCCAAACTAAAGAAGAATATTATTTAGAATTTAAAATAATGCATATTTTTAGCAAATAATTGTCTCGCAACTGCATTATGTATAATTTATTATTTTTTTGCATTTGCGAGCTAAAATTTATCAATTAATTACATAATAAGACTAGCAAGTTCACAATTATTTAAAACAATTTTATTGTTACTAATTTTTAAACTGATAAATCAGTGTTTATTTGATTAGTTTATCTAACCCTGTTTGATAAATTAATGACGGATTCGAGAAATTCTAGATTACAGAGCAAACTATTTTATAAAAAAACAATAAATATTTGGTAAGGACAAAATTCTTCTATATATACACATTCATATTTACATTATCTTGTCATTGTGGCACAGAATAAAGCAAAAGTTACAAAAAAGTCCTCCTTTGTTAAAAATTGCTGGAAAGATTTGATTGAAAAGAATTTAAAAAATCTTACCACATGAAACATCTTGAACGTTTCCAGCAAATTTCCCAACAATCGTCGTATTACTCGCACATTAACTCCGTATCGGTCCTGCATCACGCCAGACCCGAGTCCACGTGAGTTCTTCGCTTCGAGTCCGCACGCTGAACGGCGTGATCGGGCGTGGACTTCAAAATGTCCGGCTGACTCTGATTGGCCAGCGTTTGCGACAAAACCGACTGATTCACCACCGATTGGTTGACGGAGACGACCGTACCGCGACTCAGCGTGCCCAACAGCGGCGTACCCGGATTGTTCATCAGCAGGTTCATGTAGTCGGCTATCAGGAGGGTCAACTCGAGGATTTTCGGTTTGCCCAGGGCGAAAATAAGTTTCTGAGATTGATGCTGATCGTTTTGAGTCACGACCAACATGAAGTCCTCCTGGCACCCTCCAAACGTCAGAACGTGAGTGTACGGGTATCTGACGCGTTGCTGCATCGTTGCCAGATCTAGGACGGTAATGGCATCCTCGCTCACAGCCAACCAGATCATAGGAGCGTCTTGTTGACGCAGTTTCGCCTGCAAAAACAGGTTTTAGAAACAAATCGACTATTTAGACGATATCTTCGTAATTACTAATTTGACGCAAAAAAGTTAATAACAAAAAATATATCACTTTTAATTATCTACAAAAAATGTTATTACAACTTTTGTAAAAAATTAACTGAAAGGGAGATAAAACACAAAAAGTGTTTAGCCAGCAAACAAAAGATTTTGTTGCAGTAAGAACACCTTGTGTTGTACAATATCTCGATTTCTGTCAAGTTTTGAAAAAAACTTGTGCAAACATTTTTTGTAGAAAACTAAATTCCCTACATGTTTTGTGATTACATATTTTCTATAAAATACATAGTTTTAAAGATATAGTAGTCAAAGAATTTACTTTAAAAATATCAGAAACTAATTTTACGCAAAAAAGTTAATAACAAAAAATAACTGAAAGGGAGATAAAACACAAAAAGTGTTAAGACAGAAAAACAAAAGGTTTTAAAGATATATTAGTCAAAGTATTTACTATAACAATATCAGAAACTAATTTTACGCAAAAAAGTTAAAAACAAAAAATATATCAATTTTAATTATCTACAAAAAATGTTATTTCAACTTTTGTAAAAAAAAAAAGAACTAAAAGAGAGATAAAACACAAAAAGACAGCAAACCAAAGGTTTTGTTGCAGTAAGAACACCTGGTATTGTACAATATCTCGATTTCTGTCAGGTTTTGGAAAAACTTGTTAAAACATTTTTTGTAGGAAACTAAATTCTCTACATGTTTAAAGATATAGTAGTCAAAGTATTTACTGTAACAATATCAGAAACTAATTTTACGCAAAAAAGTTAATAACAAAAAATAACTGAAAGGGAGATAAAACACAAAAAGTGTTAAGACAGCAAAACAAAAGGTTTTAAAGATATATTAGTCAAAGTATTTGCTATAACAATATCAGAAACTAATTTTACGCAAAAAAGTTAATAACAAAAAATATATCAATTTTAATTATCTACAAAAAATGTTATTACAACTTTTGTAAAAAAAAAAGAACTAAAAGAGAGATAAAACACAAAAAGACAGCAAACCAAAGGTTTTGTTGCAGTAAGAACACCTGGTATTGTACAATATCTCGATTTCTGTCAGGTTTTGGAAAAACTTGTTAAAACACTTTTTGTAGGAAACTAAATTCTCTACATGTTTAAAGATTTACTGTAACAATATCAGAAACTAATTTTACGCAAAAAAGTTAATAACAAAAAATAACTGAAAGGGAGATAAAACACAAAAAGTGTTAAGACAGCAAAACAAAAGGTTTTAAAGATATATTAGTCAAAGTATTTGCTATAACAATATCAGAAACTAATTTTACGAAAAAAAAGTTAATAACAAAAAATATATCAATTTTAATTATCTACAAAAAATCTTATTACAACTTTTGTAAAAAAAAAAGAACTAAAAGAGAGATAAAACACAAAAAGACAGCAAACCAAAGGTTTTGTTGGAGTAAGAACACCTTGTATTGTTCAATATCTCGATTTCTGTCAGGTTTTGGAAAAACTTGTTAAAACATTTTTTGTAGGAAACTAAATTCTCTACATGTTTAAAGATATAGTAGTCAAAGTATTTACTGAAACAATATCAGAAACTAATTTTACGCAAAAAAGTTTATAACAAAAAATAATTGAAAGGGAGATAAAACACAAAAAGTGTTAAGACAGCAAAACAAAAGGTTTTAAAGATATATTAGTCAAAGTATTTACTATAACAATATCAGAAACAAATTTTACGTAAAAAAGTTAATAACAAAAAATATATCAATTTTAATTATCTACAAAAAATGTTATTACAACTTTTGTAAAAAAAAATAACTGAAAGAGAGATAAAACACAAAAAGTTTTAAGCCAGCAAACAAAAGGTTTTGTTGCAGTAGGGACACCTTGTATTGTACAGTTGTATTCATTAAAAAAGCGTACAAGAATTAGAATGAGAGAAAACTGTCAACATTATTGCGTAAAACCGGCTTTCCACTGACTTAAGTCACTATAACTGACAGTAGAAAATAAAAATGCCTCGTCAGTTAAAAAGGCTCAAATAGTATCAAGAATCGAAGAAGAATGGTCAATTCGTACTGTGGTATAATAGAAATAAAAAATCTATATTAAAAATTAAGCAACGCTGGGAACAGGAAGATTTACTAAACCAAAAAGTTGGTTCAGGTCGTCCCAAAATGTCCACCCCTGAACAGGATGCTGCTTTTTTGAGATATCTGAGGATTTATGGGAAACTATACAACTATACTATACCTACTATACTGCTGGGAAGATATTAATCCAAATATTGTATTAAATTTAATTCAGTTCATCCCAAATAGATTGGCTCAAGTAATAGAAAAACAGGGATGCATGACTAAATATTAAATTTTTTTTTAATGTTTGTTTTTTTCATTATTAAAAGGTAATTTTTGTAATATTATTTAATTAACCTACGACGTCAATGCTCTTTATAACCTATAATAATTATTTTAATGACTTATGTCAGTGATAAGCCGGTTTTAAGCAATAATATTATTTTGACAGTTTTCTCTCATTCTAATTCTTGTACGCTTTTTTATTGAATACAACTGTACAATATCTCGATTTATGTCAAGTTTTGAAAAAAATTGTAAAAAGATTTTTTGTAGATAACTAAATACTCTACATTTTATGTGTTTATATATTTTCTGTAAAATACGTAGTTTTAAAGATAGTAGTCGAAGTATTTACTATAAGAATATCAGACACACCTGGCCGATATTTCAAACAATCCCGTGAAGTGTATTTATTTGCGGATAAACACGACTAAAAATAAACGTTCTTTATGATGTCTGTGACGTCATAAAGCTAAATCAAAGTTTCAACCGGCCGTGAAATGAGGACGAGCTAAATTAATCGGGTAAAATGATGTATGGTGGTCGTAATTGTTTACTTACTTGAAAGAGTGTGGCACCAAAGAAAGGCCACTTCCTGGTGCACGTCAAATAAATCCTGACGCAATCCAACTGCGTTCTCCCTTTGAGAGCCCTCCATTTCGCCAGCAACTTCCCCTGTATCTCCGCCAGACCCTCCTGACTCAGCTGATCCCTGTACCTGTACGGGTAAAACTTGTCTATGGCGTTTAGGGCTTGATTGGAGTGGACTTGAGCTGTGTTGGAACTCAGAGTGTTGTTTCTGGAGGGCGGCGGTGACATTTCCGCGTGCACCGAGATTTTGTTGGTGGGCGAGCAGTCGCCCATGTCCAGTTGCGCCATGAGGCTCGCCAGTTCCAGAGCTAGATCGCGCGATAAAGGAAACCGCCCCGAGACGATCTGCTTGTTGATCTGGTAGCACAGCAGCAGGCGCTCCTTGTCGGTCTCCAGTCGGGCGCAGTTCTTCCACCACATGCGATTCTTGTACGTCAGGCGGATCACCTTGCTGTTCTCGAACTTGCCCAGCCCTTTCTCGCGCAGCGCAATCTCCCACTTGGAGATCAGGTCGCACAGCTTGGCCCCCGGGTCCAAGGTGTGCTCCAGGTCCTTCTCGATGGGGTCGTCGCTGAAGATGGCGAAGCCGTTCGCCGTGCGGCAGCCGATCTCGTGCGCGAGGCAGTCCTGGAACTCCTTGATCGTCGTCGAACCGTCGAAGGAGGTTATGTGGTAGGTGCCGTTGAGGAGATGGACGGGCATCGAGTGCGGCAGGGAGTGGTGCTGGGGGTTTTTCAGCAGGATGCTGAGGACCTCCATGCGCGATGGTTTCAGTTCTCTGCCACCTGAAAATACGTGTCTCATGAGCAAGAAACCTAGTCGCCCTATATCAAAAATTTCGCAAATATCCAAAGTTATGGAAAAACTTATAACAAATAAAATAACAACTTTGTTTAAAAATATTTTAATAAACGAGCAACATGGGTTTAATAAAGGCAAGTCTACGTCCACAAATCTACTTGTTTATGAACAAGATTTGTTAAATGTCTTGGAGAAACGAAGCCAGGTGGATTCTATCTATACTGACTTCTCCAAGGCATTTGACACAGTAAACCATCAAATTTTGCTTGCAAAAATGAAGGCTTTGGGCGTATCGGGAAACTTTTACTGTTGGCTAGAGAGTTACATAACCTCAAGAAAACAAACAATTATTTTACAAAATCAATATTAAGTCTGAGGTTACTTCAGGTGTACCACAAGGAGGGCATATTTCCCCTCTCTTATTTAACTTGTTCATAAATGATATAGGCAATGGTGTTAAATTTTGTAAATATCTTTTATTTGCCGACGATCTTAAATTATACAAAGAAGTAAATTCCTTAAGAGACTGCTTGGATATTCAATCAGATTTAAATCTAATTCAAATGTGGTGTGATACAAATGAAATGAAATTAAATGTAGATAAATGTAAATATATTAGTTTTTATAGAAACATGAATCCTGTGATATATCCGTACTCATTAAATAATATAATTTTAGAAAACGTTCATGTCATAAAATGTTTACTTTGATAAAAAAGTGACATTTGGCTACCATGTTGATTTTATTGTGAATAAGGCTTTTAAAATGCTGGGATTTGTTAAAAGAAGTATGAAAGATTTTAATGTTCAATGTGTTAAAACTGTTTATATGTCCTATGTACGTAGCATTTTAGAATATTGTTGTGTAATTTGGTCTCCTTTCTATGTTAATTCTTCCATAAAAATTGAAAAAGTCCAAAACAAATTTTTGCGATTTTGTGGATTTAAATTAAGTATTGAGTGTAAATATAGTTTAGACTTAGTAAGAAATGCAATTCAACTGAATTTACTAAGTCGTAGGAGAACAGAAATAGGTGTTGTTTTTTTATTTAAATTGCTTAATAACTATATAAACTGCCCCGACTTGTTAGGGCAAATTAATTTTAATACCCCGATAAGACAAACGCGTAACACATTATTATTTCACATAAAAAAGTACAGAACAGAATATGCTAAATTCATGCCTATAAGCAGAATATGCTTTGATGCAAACAACCTTGATTTGGACTTTTTTAGTTGCATTCAAGAAACAATGTAATTATAAAATTAATTGTTATCCATCCTAATTGTAGACATTTGAATGTATTTTTTTGTAAGTGGTTTAATACCGTCAATAAAGTTATTATTATTACATAGTAGGGTGTTTCAAAAAAACCTTTTTTTTGTTTTTTTTTTCTCGGAACCACGCTCAAAAGTTTCGTATAGATATAAAAATGAGCCTGTGAAAAAATGAGCTCTTAATTTCAAAATTAAGATGCTCCGCATCGCACTTTTCGATTTTCCATAAGAATAACATAGGAAAAATTATTTTTGTTTCTTTTTATTTTTGTAACTAACGAACAATAAGTCGTACTATAAAGTTCTTGACATATTTTTGTAGAGAATTAAACGTTCTACGAAAAAGGTTTTTTATGATTTTTTGATCAATTTGATCCTTCTAAACAAATTTAAGGTCAAAGTTCAAATTATACGAAATTTTTGTGTTTTTTAACTATGTACCCGACTCATTTAAAAAAATTTGAAATATTTTTGTAGAGAATTGAACGCTCTACAAAAAAGGTCTGGAGTCATTTTTCGGTAAGTAAACTTGGTTAAAAGTTATTCAAGGTTAAAGTGAAATTAACCGCCAATTTAGTCGTTTTCCTCGGATTTTTTTCTGTATTTTTTAGTTCAAAGTGCTAAAAACGAATCGAAATATTGTTTTTGAACTCTGGAAGTTCGGAAAAACAGTGTTAAATTCTCAACAAAAATATTTCAAAATTTTTTAAATGAGTCGGGCAGACTCCCCAAATTTTTTTATAATTTGAACTTTGACCTTAAATTTCTTTAGAAGGATCAAATTTATCAAAAAATCATAAGAAACCTTTTTTGTAGAGCGTTCAATTATCTACAAAAATATGTCAAGAACTTTAAAGTACGACCTATTGTTCTTTAGTTACAAAAATAAAAAGAAACAAAAATAATTTTTCCCATGTTATTCTTATGGAAAATCGAAAAGTGCGATGCGGAACATCTTAATTTTGAAATTAAGAGCTCATTTTCTCACTCATTTTCTCACAGGCTCATTTTTATATCTATACGAAACTTTTGAGCGTGGGTCCGAAAAAAAAAACAAAAAAAAGGTTTTTTTGAAACACCCTAGTACACAGACATAACAATACATAATAGTTCCTCACATCCTTTTTCTCAAAAAATAGCAGCCTTTAATTCCATGATACACAGACTTTTAAACGTACCAATGACAGAATCCGATTTATAAATTTTGTTCGTTGCGATTTGTTTAATTATAATTAAACAAATCGCAACGAACAATGGTTATGGCGCACAATTAATTAATAATATTAAGTAGGTTTAGAATTGAAAAACAGCATCAGCTGAATTCTCGCCTTTGTATAAAATATTGTTTTTATTTATATTTTTGTGCAATAAAGATTATTATTATTATTTTCAAACGATTTAAATACATTATGAATATGAACATAGCCTAGTCAAATATGTTGGATATTTACCCACATAATTAAAGGTGCTAGTGGATAATTTTTATAATAAAGAACAAAAAATATTGCAATTGTACCCAATTAAAAATAAATTTGTTGTTGCAAATACAATTATTTTTCTCCTTTATTACTTAAAACCTTCATCCTTTTGCCCCTTCAATTTTGTCACGCCAATTTATCGATTCTTGGATAAAATTTTTGGGGAAAAACCTGTTGTGTGGATTAAAAATTTGTTTGAAAATTACCTGTCAAAATGGTCCTGGCCAGCGCCCTCTCGCAGTAGGAGGCGTACTTGCCGCACTCGCTCCTGTTGTCGGCGTTTCTCTGCAGGTGCAGCTTCAAGAACCACAGCAACCTCGAGGACTTGGGGACGAACAGGCTGACCGCCAAGGCCAGCAGCTGCCAGCCTTGCAGCAGCGTGAAGCTGGGCGGGCCTTTGGCGTCCTTGTGCTCCTTGTAGCACTCCTTGTGCTCCTTGTACTTCTCCTCTTGCGCCGCCTGAATGTTCGAGAGGCAAATTTGTTGGTCAGAGGCGGAGTTAATGCTCGGCGTGGTTTCGCACGTGAACAAACTCTGCGTCGCGCAAAGCAGAAGTTGCTGGAAAAAGAATTATTGGTGTTTCTTTGCTAGACCCTTCCTGATCCCCGTGGAGGCACTGTGCTAATATGTTTTCATGTTCTTTCACTATAATTTGGAATTAATAAACTCCCCAAAGCGCCACAAGCGTGTGATTGTATGAATGGAGTGAAACTAGTTGAGTAAAAAGTCTTGTACTACGTGATAGTTGCGATGTATGAATTTACTTTTTATGTTTTATTTTATCGAACTCATTTTGACAATATTAACATTCTAAAATAATCATTCTTTAATGTTTGTCATTTTATAATCGGTTTTTAATTTTAAAATATTATTATAACATTAAAAATGTGTGTTTTTTTTAGAGTGTGTCATTCTTAAAAGTTTGACTATGAGATATTTGTCATTTTGGACAATCTTAAACATTGTTTTGACATTTGTTTTTCTGCAAGAGGATTTTTAAATACGCCTTCAATATTTTAAAATGTGTCTAAATTTACCAAGTTTAGATTCTAAAATGAATTTTTAACATTCCAAATGTACTTTTGCATTTTATGTAATTTTTAATGTGTTTTTGTAATTCTTGGGAAATTATTTTGTCGTTATTTCTTTGCGAGTGCGTTATTTGACATTCTAAAATACGATTTTTGCAATAAAAAATCCTAAAATAATGATTCTTTAATGTTTGTCATTCTATTTTATTATCAAAAATGTGTCTAACATTTTAAAGTGAGTCATTCTAGAAATGGTTTTGACGATGAAATATTTGTTTCTTTGCAGGTGGATTAATGTTTTACATTTTAAAATATTCTTTTAAAACTTTAAAATGTGTCTAAATTTACTAATTTACCAAGTTTATATTCCAAAATGCGTTTTTACATTCTTAAATATTTCTTATAAGATATCAATATCATTCTTAAATATTTATGTTTTTTACACTCTAAAATGTGTTTTGACTTATATTTGACATTTTATGTAATTTTTAATACATTTTTGACATTCTAAAATTTGTTTTTGACATTCCTTAAATTTTTTACCATAATGCTTTTTTAAACTTAAAAAATGGAATTTTGAAGGTACAAATTCTTTTTTGATAATCAAAAATATGATTGACATTCTAAAATATGATTTTTGCAATAAAAAATCCCCAAATACTGATTCTTTAATGTTTGTCATTCTTAGAAATGGTTTTGACGATGAAATATTTGTTTCCTTGCAAGTGGATTAATTTTTACATTTTAAAATATTTTTTTAACACTAAAATGTGTCTAAATTTACTAATTTTCCAAGTTTATATTCCAAAATGCGTTTTTACATTCTTAAATAATTCGGATTAGATCAATATCATTCTAAAATATGCTTTGACATTTTTAAATATGTTTTTAACATTCTAAAATGTGTTTTGACTTAAATATTTTACATTTTTAATGAATTTTTGACATTCTAAATTGTGTTTGTGTATTCTTAAGTAATTTTGACAATCTGAAATCTGATTTTGACGTTATTTCTTTGCTAGTAAGTTATTTGACATTCTAAAATTTGTTTTTGACATTCCTTAAAAGTTTTACCAAAATGCTTTTGTAAACTTAAAAAATGGAATTTTGAAGGTTTAAATTGTTTTTTGATAATCAAAAATATGATTGACATTCTAAAATATGATTTTTGCAATAAAAAATCCCCAAATACTGATTCTTTAATGTTTGTCATTCTTAGAAATGGTTTTGACAATAAAATATTTGTTTCTTTGCAAGTGGATTATTGTTTTACATTTTAGATTCCAAAATGCGTTTTTACATTCTTAAATATTTCTGATTAGACATCAATATCATTGTAAAATATGCTTTGACATTCTTAAATAAGTTTTTAACATTCTAAAATGTGTTTTGACTTGAATATTTTACATTTTTAATGAATTTTTGACATTCTAAATTGTGTCTGTGTATTCTTAAGTCATTTGGACAATCTGAAATCTAATTTTGACCTTATATATTTGATAGTGAGTTATTTGACATTCTAAAATTTGTTTTTGACATTCCTTAAAATTTTTACCAAAATGCTTTTGTAAACTTGGAATTTTGAAGGTTCAAATTGTTTTTTGATAATCAAAAATATGATTGACATTCTAAAATATGATTTTTGCAATAAAAAATCCCCAAATACTGATTCTTTAATGTTTGTCATTCTTAGAAATGGTTTTGACGATGAAATATTTGTTTCTTTGCAAGTGGATTAATTTTTACATTTTAAAATATTCTTTTAACATTTTAAAATGTGTCTTAATTTACTAATTTTCCAAGGTTAGATTCAAAATGCGTTTTTACATTCTTAAATATTTCTAATTAGATATCAATATCTTTCTAAAATATGCTTTGACATTCTTAAATGTGTTTTTAACACTCTAAAAAAATTCTTTATTGTTTGTCATTCTATAATCTGTTTTTAATTTTAAAATATTACAACATTAAAAATGTGTTATACGTTTTAGAGTGTCATTCTTAAAAGTGGTTTTGACTATGAGATATTTGTCATTTGGACTATCTTAAATATTGTTTTGACATTTGTTTTCTTGCAAGAAGATAATTAAATATTTTAAAATGTGTCTAAATTTACCAACTTTAGATTCTAAAACGCATTTTCCATTCTTAAATATGTTTTTAAAATTCCAAAATGTGTTTTGACTTATATTTGACATTTTAATGAATTTTAGACATTCTAAATTGTGTTTTTGTAATTCTTAAGTAATTTTGACAGCCTTAAATCTGATTTGGACGTAATTTTTTGGCAAGTGCGTTCATTGACATTCTAAAATTTTCGTTTGACATACCTTAGAAAATATTTTGCCAAAATGCTTTAGTAAACTTAAAAAATGTGATTTTGAGGGTTTAAACTGTATTTTTGGTAATCAAAATTGATATTCTAAAATATAATTTTTGCAATACAAAATCGTTAAATAATAATACTTTATGTTTGTCATTCTATTTTAATATTAAAAATGTGTTTAACGTTATAAAGTGAGTCATTCTTAAAAATCGTTTTGGCGATGAAATATTTGTCATTTTGAACAATCTTAAACATTGTTTTGACATTTGTTTCCTTGCAAGATGATTAATGTTTTACAATTTAAAATATTCTTTTAACATTTTTAAAAATGTGACTAAATTTACTAATTTACCAATTTTAGATACCAAAATGGGGTTATATGTTTTTAACATTCTAAAATTTATTTTGACTTATATTTTACATTTTATGGCATTTTGAATAAATATTTGACATTCTAAATTGTGTTTTTGTAATTGTTAAGTAATTGTGACAATCTTAAATCTGATTTTGACGTTATTTCTTTGCGGTGCGTTATTTGACATTCTAAAATTTGTTTTTGACATTTCTTAAAACATTTTACCAAAATGCTTTTGTAAACTTAAAAAATGGAATTTTGAAGGTTCAAATTGTTTTTTGATACATTGACATTCTATTTTAATTTGATGAATATTTGTTAATATTCTAAAAGTTGTAACCAATAAAGAAACCCTAGACTAGACTGGACTAGACAATTGGTATTTTAGTGAATTTAAGATGTTTATTTTATATAAATACCCAATGTGTACCAAAAACTAATTATTTACTTATGTGTTGCCTTGTAAAGATGATAATAGAGAAGAGATAGGGCATTCACAGGCATTTTCTATTTAAATCTATTCTATAAACATTTGGGATAAAACTAAAACATCCAAAGAGTATAGTAAAAAAAATTGTAAATAATAAACATGAAACACCAACATTCTTATCCTATGCGATAATAAAATAAAAAGAAATCAAGTTTAGGACAAATCTAAAACCAATTTTTTTAAATTTGATTTCTTTTTATATGCCTTTAAAAACGATAATGAAAAACATGGTCATGCAGTGTGTAAAATTAATTTTTAAAATAAAATTTAAATATAAATTATAATTTTAAAATATATTTAAAGCTTATGAAAGAAAGATGTGATGATCAGCTAGCTTGTAGAGTAAAAACTAAACATAATTTGGATATTGTAATATTTAAAATGTCGTCGACACTTTTTCCTATAGGTAAGTAAATTAGAAGTAATATTTTGATTACAATATCCATTCTATAAACTAATAATAATAATAAACCAAATAAAAAAAGCCCACTTACGCTCTTCTTAAGCAACTTTTGAGTGGATACCTGAACTCCGATTTTCGGTAGCGGCACGTTTTTGCTGGTTTGTTTGATCAAGGCGCAGATCAGTTCCGGTTGAAGTTCCGGCATGTCTAGGCACTGCTGCAATGCGTTTTGGGCCAGCACTACGTGGTAATCTATGCCGGCTTGGTCTACAGCAGCCGACATAAACAGTTGCAGGCACTTGAATAGTTTTATTGCTTCAGCCTAAAAACGACAACAAAATGTCTAACTTACTTTTTGCAGCATTAATAATCATATTATGTCAGACAAAGATTTCAAAATTAGTGCAAAAAAATTGACATTTTGGACAAACTTAAATATTGTTTTAACATTTTAAAATATGTCTAAATTTACCAACTTACCAATTTTAAATTTCAAAATGCGTTTTACATTATTAAATATGTTTTAAACATTCTAAAACGTGTTTTTACTTATACGTGACATTTTATGTAATTTTTGATGAATTTTTTACATTCTAAATTGTGTTTTTGTAATTCTTAAGTAATTTTGACAATCTTAAATCTGATTTTGACGTTATTTCTTTGCGAGTGCGTTATTTGACATTCTATAATTTGTTTTTGACATTCCTTAAAATATTTACCAAAATGCTTTTGTAAACTTCAAAAATGGAATTTTGAAGGTTCAAATTGTTTTTTGATAATCAAAAATATGATTGACATTCTAAAATATGATTTTTGCAATAAAAAATCCCCAAATATTGATTTTTTTAAGTTTGTCATTCTTAGAAATCGTTTTGACGATGAAATGTTTGTTTCTTTGCAAGTAGATTAATGTTTCACCTTTTAAAATATTCTTTTAACACTTTAAAATGTGTCTAAATTTACTAATTTACAAAGTTTAGATTCCAAAATGCGTTTTTACATTCTTAAATATTTCTGATTAGATATTAATATCATTCTAAAATATGCTTTGACATTTATTCTTTAATATGTTTTTAACACATGACATTTTGTCGCATTTTTAATAAATTTTTGACATTCTAAATTGCGTTTTTATAATTCTTAAGTAATTTTGACAATCTTAAATCTGATTTTGACGTTATTTCTTTGCTACTGAGTTATTTGACATTCTAAAATTTGTCTTTGACATTCCTTAAAATTTTTATCAAAATGCTTTTGTAAACTTAAAAAATGGAATTTTGAAGGTTCAAATTTTTTTTGATAATCAAAAATATGATTGACATTCTAAAATATTATTTTTGCAATAAAAAATCCCCAAATAGTGATTCTTTAATGTTTGTCATTCTTAGAAATGGTTTTGACGATGAAATATTTGTTTCTTTGCAAGTGGATTCATGTTTTCATTTTAAAATATTCTTTTAACACTATAAATGTGTCTAAATTTATCAAATTTACCAAAATGCGTTTTTACATTCTTAAATATGTTTTTAACAAATAAAAAAATATGTTTTGACTTATTTTTGACATTTTATGGCATTTTTAATAAATTTTTGACATTCTAAATTGTGTTTTTGTAATTCATAAGTAATTTTGACAATCTTAAATCTGATTTTGACGTTATTTCTTTGCTACTGAGTTATTTGACATTATAAAATTGGTTTTAGACATTCCTTAAAATTTTTATCAAAATGCTTTTGTAAACCTAAAATATGTTAGGTATTTTGAAGGTTTAAATTGTTTTTTGATAATCAAAAATATGATTGACATTCTAAAATATGATTTTTGCAATAAAAAATCAACAAATACTGATTCTTTAATGTTTGTCATTCTTATAAATATTTGTTTCTTTGCAAGTGGATTAATGTTTTACATTTTAAAATATTCTCTAACACTTTAAAATGTGTCTAAATTTACTAATTTACCTAGTTTAGATTCCAAAATTTTTACATTCTTAAATATTTCTGACTAGATATCAATATTTTTAACACATTAAAAATGTGTTTTGACTTATGTTTGACATTTTATGGCACTTTTAATAAATTTTTGACATTCTAAATTGTGTTTTTGTAATTCGTAAGTAATGTTAACAATCTTAAATCTGATTTTGACGTTATTTCTTTGCTAGTAAGTTATTTGACATTATAAAATTTGTTTTTGACATTCCTTAAAATTTTTACCAAAATTTTTTTGTAAACTTAAAAAATGGAATTTTGAAGGTTCAAATTTTTTTTGATAATCAAAAATATGATTGACATTCTAAAATATTATTTTTGCAATAAAAAATCCCCAAATAGTGATTCTTTAATGTTTGTCATTCTTAGAAATGGTTTTGACGATGAAATATTTGTTTCTTTGCAAGTGGATTCATGTTTTCATTTTAAAATATTCTTTTAACACTATAAATGTGTCTAAATTTATCAAATTTACCAAAATGCGTTTTTACATTCTTAAATATGTTTTTAACAAATAAAAAAATATGTTTTGACTTATTTTTGACATTTTATGGCATTTTTAATAAATTTTTGACATTCTAAATTGTGTTTTTGTAATTCATAAGTAATTTTGACAATCTTAAATCTGATTTTGACGTTATTTCTTTGCTACTGAGTTATTTGACATTATAAAATTGGTTTTAGACATTCCTTAAAATTTTTATCAAAATGCTTTTGTAAACCTAAAATATGTTAGGTATTTTGAAGGTTTAAATTGTTTTTTGATAATCAAAAATATGATTGACATTCTAAAATATGATTTTTGCAATAAAAAATCAACAAATACTGATTCTTTAATGTTTGTCATTCTTATAAATATTTGTTTCTTTGCAAGTGGATTAATGTTTTACATTTTAAAATATTCTCTAACACTTTAAAATGTGTCTAAATTTACTAATTTACCTAGTTTAGATTCCAAAATTTTTACATTCTTAAATATTTCTGACTAGATATCAATATTTTTAACACATTAAAAATGTGTTTTGACTTATGTTTGACATTTTATGGCACTTTTAATAAATTTTTGACATTCTAAATTGTGTTTTTGTAATTCGTAAGTAATGTTAACAATCTTAAATCTGATTTTGACGTTATTTCTTTGCTAGTAAGTTATTTGACATTATAAAATTTGTTTTTGACATTCCTTAAAATTTTTACCAAAATTTTTTTGTAAACTTAAAAAATGGAATTTTGAAGGTTCAAATTTTTTTTGATAATCAAAAATATGATTGACATTCTAAAATATTATTTTTGCAATAAAAAATCCCCAAATAGTGATTCTTTAATGTTTGTCATTCTTAGAAATGGTTTTGACGATGAAATATTTGTTTCTTTGCAAGTGGATTCATGTTTTCATTTTAAAATATTCTTTTAACACTTTACATTCTTAAATATGTTTTTAACAAATTAAAAAATATGTTTTGACTTATTTGACATTTTATGGCATTTGTAATAAATTTTTGATATTCTAAAATGTGTTTTGAATGTTTTACATTTTAAATTGTGTTTTTGTAATTCTTAAGTAATTTTGACAATGTTAAATCTGATTTTGACGTTATTTCTTTGCTACTGAGTTATTTGACATTCTAAAATTTGTTTTTGACATTCCTTAAAAAATGGAATTTTGAAGGTTCAAATTGTTTTTTGATAGGTAATCAAAAATATTATTGACATTCTAAAATATGATTTTTGTAATAAAAAATCCCCAAATACTGATTCTTTAATGTTTGTCATTCTTAGAAATGCTTTTGATGATGAAATATTTGTTTCTTTGCAAGTGAATTAATGTTTCACCTTTTAAAATATTCTTTTAACATTTTAAAATGTGTCTAAATTTACTTCTTGCAGCATTAATAATATTTCAGACAGATTCTAAAATAAGTGCCAAAAAAACGTCAAAAATAATTTAAAAACTTTTTTGGTGGTGTATTTCTTAGAAATCAGGGAGAATCATGGAGTGTCACTCCAGGAGTGAATATAAAGATTTTTTTGAATGAAGATTTAAACCGCGTTAAAAATTTCCACGAAATAATAATAAAAAAAATTAAGACCAATAAATACCTTTAGTTAGGTACATACCTGTAGATTTTCTGAAGCGAGCGTTGTCAGAGGGAAGTACGAGGGTATGGCACCGTCTTTGGTACAAGGCACATGTAGTAAAACCGGATGCCGCCAGAGGACGCAGCTGGCGTCTCCATCGACCTCCATCAGCTTGTGGATCAATTGTTCGTATTGCGTTCCAGTGCTCGGCCCTCCGCCACTGGCTACCGTCAGATTGTACAACCAAGCGTCTTTTTCCTAAGAAAAAAAAACGAGTTTTGTAAGCCTTACTGTAGCATATCGATTTGTTTCCTTGTTTACGGTTTATGACTAGTTAGTTAGTCTGCCGAAATTTAAATTTGAATTTTCTTCATTTTAAATTATTATTATGTTATGGTTGGTAACATATTCTGTCAAAAAAGTTGCCAAATTTTGTTTAAATTTAGCTTAATTACAAAAATGACAAAATCAACAATGTAAATTGTTAATTTGGCGTTTTTATTGTTGATTATGTCATTTTTGTAATAAATGTAAATTCAAACAAAATCTGGCAACTTTATGACAGAAACTAGTGCATTTATTTCAAATTTTAGGTTATGTGCTCAAATTGTAAATATCTTAAGTAAGGGAACTGCTTTTGGATTTATTTACACAAATTGAATGTTTAAAGTTTAACCTTGTGAACTTTTTAAAATAGGTACTAAATTTTCTAATCAATGCTTAAGCTAATAGCTGGGTGAGTAAATAAATACAGAAGGGTATTAGAGCTTTAAGGGCATAAAACTTTTGTATTTATTGAGTTTTTATTTATTTTTTGCAAGAAAAATTTTTAGTAACAATTTTGTACAAACGGCAACGCGCAGCTACTTTGTTGGTTGGTATCTATGTACTCACAGAACACAATTGCGTAACCAGAGGCGTATCACAAAAAATATAAAAAACTTCTAATGCATATTTTTTTTGGGAAAATATTTTTTTTAAATATTTTTCCGTTACACCTAATGTCAAAAGGTATTCAGTATTTTAATATATTACATTAAATACATAACACCCAGTATATATTTGTTTTGTTATGAATTTTAATTGCTTTTTACTTTTTTTATTATAAAAAAATGATTTTTTTGAATTTTGACTGATTTTTATTATTTCTTTTGTTAAGATGTTAAAATAATTTAAATTTTTTCTTTAAATTTTTTTTTTAATTAAAATAAATAATTAAATTTAAATTTTTGAAATTCACGAATATTAGTTTGATAAATTTTTTGAATACAAAATCAAACATTAAAACCAATTGGTATTTTTTTTATTTTTTTAATTAAGGAATTCAAAAAAAATCAAAATTAAAAAACAAACATTAAAATAAAATTAAAAATCAAAATTGGGTTTTTATTCTTTAAATTTTATTTTACTTTATATTGAATTTGAACAGATTCTTAATATTAAGTTTTATAATTTTACTTTTTTTTAATTTTTGATTTTTTAATTAAAAGAATTAGTTAAATTATAATTCGTAAAATTTACGAATATTAAATTGATTCATTTTTTTAATAAAAAAAATCAAAAACTAAAAGATAATAAATAAAACCAAAATTTAAAAAAAAAAACAATTAAAATAAAATTAAAAAACAAAATTGGTTATTGGTTATTTCTATAAATTTTATTTACTTTATTTTGAATTTGAACTGATTAAATCTAATTAAATAATTAAAATAAAACGAATAATAATTTAATTAATTTTTTTTTTTAATTCAAAAAATCAAAAATTAAAAAAAAAATTATATTGATTATTATATATCTGATTCTTGATATTATGTTAATTTTAGAATTTTATTTTAGTTTTATAATTTAATTGTAGTTTTTTCTAGGAAATGTTTTTTTAATTTATTTTGAATTTAAATTAAATCTTAGAATTTTATTGTGATTTTTTTGTTTTTAATTTTTGTTTTGTAAATTAAAGTAAAAAAAAATATTTTTTGTAATATTTCTTACCTGTTTTGCTGGGCAAAGCAAATACGTAGGTCCGGAATTCGTGGGGAAAATACCGATGGTCAAATCCGGCTGTTCGGAGTCCCTCTCTTCAGAATCTGAATCTGACAAGTGTTCAACTTCTTCCACTTTCGCATCTCTCATATTAATCTGTCCGTGCGGGGTCTAAAAAATCAATTTTAAATTAAAAAAATCTTAATTTTTCACAAAGTATTGCTACTTACGTTATCAGTTGGGCCTTTAAAGTATAAAAACATTTTTCCGATGAGAACGCACCAACATTTTTTAGCGTGACCGTTTTTTACTTTCGTCAGCCAACCCTGAACGGAGGGTTTGTTTTCTTCCTTGCTTAATAATAATTTTGTTGCATTTCTTCGTTGCACGTTTTGGAGCATTCTTACCTAAAAGATATTAATACTAAAATTTCCGCCATATAAAATATATATATTTCTATATCTAAATGCAGTACTTTTTTCAAAAAACTGTGTTAAAAATGAAGAAAATTAATTTTTTTGTAATAACTTTTTTTATTTCAAAACGAATTGATTTTAAATTTGGAGAAAATATAGATCTTACTAATGACAATTTATCCATGAAAAATTTTTGAACAAAGTAATACTTCCTGTTTTACCGGAAATGTCTTTAATTTTGTTATTTTAAACAGACACCTCATATATTTTTACATTTTTGAATTCTTCATAAAATTCTGAGTAAAAGGGCTATCATATACCTAAAGTCAATATTTTTCAAGTTATATTAATTTTTCAATCAAATATTTTAATTAATTTTAAACAATGGCAGATTAAGTGGTAACCATGGATACTGTCACATTAACCCACATGTAGAATTTCACAGGTTTGTTGATACAAAATAGTATTGAAAATATTAGAAACTGTTAAATGTCTATGAAATTTTAACTTTAGGAAACAGTTATTTGATAATGTTAAAATATACAGGGTTTTACATTTATAATAAAAACGTTATTATTGTTTGAAGTTTGCCTTTAAAAAATTAAATTATTTAAACAATGTTTTAATATTCCAAAAATTCCAACCCCATGTCAGCAAATCTAATAACAAAAAAAATTAGAGGCTATTTTTGATTGACGTTCTTTTAGCAAAAGTTTAACGAAAAAAATTAATATTTTAAAAATTATTGACTTTAGATATAGTCTAAATCAAATTGTATACGATATTAAAACTTCAATTCCATATCGTTTGCGTTTTTCCAGAAACACCCTGTATAGCATTATATCAAATATAAAAAAATGCAAAATAACCAATTACAAAAAAGCGAATAACAACTGAATATAAAATATACATAAATCTAATAGTAAAAAATAAATTGAAGCTTGGTTGTGGAGCAAAAAATAAAATTAAACGTTATTATTGTTTGAAGTTTGCCTAATTTCAAGTTGTTTTTCTCAAGCTATTTGTTAAAAAACCTTTAAAAAATTAAATTAGCATTTAGCAAATGATTAACGAAAAAAAATTATATCTTAAAAATTATTGACTTTATTAGATATCGTCTAAATCAAATTGTATACGCTATTAAAACTTCAAATCCATATCGTTTGCGTTTCTCCAGAAACACCCTGTATAGCATTATATTAAATATAAAAAATGCAAAATAAATAATTACAAAAAGGGAAAAACAACTGAATATAAAATATATATAAATCTAAATAGTAAAAAATAAATTGAAGCTTGGTTGTGGAGCAAAAAATAAAATTAAAGAAGGTTATAATTTCTAACTTGCTGACACTGTCTATAATTATTATTCAGATTATTCATTTTAATAAATTAATGTTTTGAGTTTAAACACTTGAAACGAAATAATATAAACTGAAATGTCATATTATATTTCATGCTTCCAATGGTAGGATACCATAGAGAAAAGTCTATGATGCCTACTATGATCAAAATTAGTAAACTTGGAAAAAATTTAAATTTATAAATAAAAGTAATTTTAGCTCCAACTATGGCGAAAATTGTATGTTATAATATATTATATGTAATATATATTGTAAATTATGTAATATATAATACATTATCTTATAAAACTAGATAAAAAATATATACTTTGTTAAACACGTTAGTATTATGCCCTTTGAAGACAACTTAAAAATGATGTCTCTCGTAGAAACATAATTTGCACGTGGAAGTTTATATATCAAATAATAGTTAATTATCAGTAATTTAACGTGATATACTCAAAATTATAAAACAACGTTGCTTCTTCGAATTTGTAATCCTTAAAAAATGGTAAAATTTTAAATTAAATTGTCCCCAGCACCCCCTGTATGTTAAAATCTAAATCTAACCTAAAATTTACTTTTTATCTTAATTTCAAATCGATAAAAATGTTATTACAACCACAGCGGTCAATGGATGAATTTTTTTTGAAAAAAAAATGCATCATCTAGATGTAGAAACAAGGTTAAAAAAATATATTCAATTCTGGCATCAATTGCAAACAAATGTCCAAAATTTGTTCGATGTTTACACGAAACCATTTTTAATTAACAGTATAGTGTAAACTTAATACCATCACAGACTAATCTGCTTAACTAATACCTTTACCCTAATCCCTTCAAAAGGATTCCTAATTAGTTCCGAAGTAACAAACACCGAAAAATAAAACTTACCCAGTCTTCCATGGCAGTCAAGGAATCCGCCGTCAAGTAATACGTCTTCTTCCCCGTATCGATTTCGAAGGTGTTCGACCCGTCCGCCCTGTTGATCTTGCAAACCTCGTCCAGCAAAATCTGACCTTGAGGCTTGCGGTTCGCGTCGCTCTGGCTCTTGTAGTACGTCAGCACGCCGTTTTTCAGCACGAACCACTTCTTCCTCCACGTTTTCAGCTTCCCGCCCAGCTTGGCCAGGCTGCCGCTCTTCTCCAAGCTCTCTATCCGCTTCGGAGAGTCCAGATAGGAGGCCCTGAGCAGCATGGAGGACTCGATGCTGGTCGTGTCGCAGCTGAGCGCGTCCGGCGGCACCGCGTAGTCGTCCGACATTCCGGACTCGAAGGACGTGTCTGAAACACCTTTTTGTTAGGTTAGTATTTAGGTGAGCGCTAAAAGGCGGAGCACGTGGTGTTTAGAAGCGTTTCTGAGCTATAAGGTTAGGTGCTAAAAGTTTAGTTTTTGTGTCAATTGTAAAAGTGCCTTTCCATCTCAAATCCATAGCAAACATTTTTTCTTTTTGCTTAAATTTGTTTTGTTCACCTGTAGGAATGTTTTTATTGGAAATGCGATAACTTGGCCAAAAATGTTTTTATCGTTACAATTTTTTTTAATTGTTGGTTTAAAAACAAAATAAAAAACCATAACCCAAATATAAAAATCGGAAATGATGCTATAAGCGAAGAAACAAAAATTAAATACTTAGGTCTTATTCTTGACAAAAATTTAAAGTGGACTTCACACATAAGAGCTCAAAACAAAAAAATGGCATATTATAATGGACTAGCGCATAAGGTAAAAGCAAGCTGTCTTACCTAATATCATTCTGGTTAACAGGAAACAAAAAAATAGACAAATTGCAAATAAGCCAAAATAAACTATTAAAAGCTTTGCACAGACTACCAAGGCATACTGCAACAATTGAAGTATACCGTAAAACAAAAACATTAACAATAGAAAGCTGGAGACCATAAAATTGGTAAGGAAAATGTTAAACAAACAAATCCAAGACGAAGATATATAAATAACAACAAGAGCCGATGTACATCAATACAGCACCAGAGGAAATCAAGAACTAAATTTTGTCATACGTAAAACCAAAATAGGCGAAAAACGAATACTTACAGTAGGCATCAAAATATACAACAAATTACCAAATGAAATCAAACAGCAAAATGAAATGGAGTTTGTTAAGAGCGTCAAGCAATATTTAGTGGACCAAAGATAAGAAAACTAGTGTACATGGGTAGATACTTGTTAATTATTTATAAAGATTTAATTTATTCCACCAAAGACAAAAATTAGTGTACATAGCCAACTTCAAATAATTTATAAATGACCCATGTATAATTTAATTATTTATTGCTAAATGTTAATTTTAAATTTATTTGTAAATATCTGTCAAAGCCCATTTCGGCTAATTGGATATTATTTTTCAATAAAAAAAAAATGTTTACTACAAAAAAAATCATTTTGAAGTGAAAGTTCTTTGGTGGCGTTCTGATATTTGACGAGAATTGAAGGCGAGGATTCAGTTTTGTTTTGCAGTTGCTAGTGTGTATTTCGAGCGTTTTAACATAAATTAATTCCTTTTATTTAAAATTATAAGTTATAATGTCCTACACATTGCAAGAGAAAATTGACATTTTGTACACCATTTCTACAAAACTTGCTGCCGTTTGGTTTTAAATATTTACACAAAAAATTGCAAATGTTATTAAAAATGAAACCGTTAAAACCACACATGTCTAAAGTAATTGGGTAGCGAGTGTTATTTTTAATACGCGTTTATTGGAAAATGTACATTTTCGTGAAATAAACGATATTCAAGCGCAAAATTACTTAAAAAAATAAAAATTGTTACCAAATGGTTCATTTGTACCAAAAATAAATCAAATAAACAATAAACAACTATGAGTACGGTAGAGTAGCGAATATTCTACTGTTTTTATTGTTTTATAATAATGCGGCTTATTTGTAATAACGCGGTGTAAAGCCGACAAAAGACTAAGGCGTGGCGCGCTCAAAGCATGCCGCTATTTAGGCGCGTACCGAAAGCAAATTCGCTTCTGTTTTTATGCCAAGGATATAAATATATTTCAGATGAAATTAATCAGTAGTAAATAACTACTAGTTTTATTAGATAGCAGTCACTGCTAAGCAGTGTATGTGTTCGATGAATTTTGCCCTATGTTTTAAGGTATTTATGAAATTTTATTATTAAAATAAAGTTTCACTTCTACCACGTGTACGATACTGCACATGATTTTTTTTATTTGTTTTTTCTAAAAAAGGCAAAAAAAATTGAGGTCCAAATTTTGACTAATTATTTTTTTTTTGTATTTAGTAAACATTTACCGACACTTTAGAAAAAAAAATGTAAAGATCCAAACATTTTTGGCCAAGTTACCACATTTTCAAGAAAAAATGTTACTCGTACAAAGATTCGATTTGTTTTTAAATTTCCTTGGGATGAACAAAACAAATTTAAGCAAAAAAAATACGGGTCTCATCGATTTCGGTGGAGAAAATGTAAAAAAATTTCGTTGAAAAATAACTTTTTGACTGGTGGATTTAAGATGGAAATACTCAAAAATAAAGAGTTATTGTGGAGTTGTGCAATTGTACCTCTAGTTTTACTTTTGCTGGGAGACCCACTACTACTCGAGGCAGTACGTTTTCCCGGACTGGACCCTGAGGTATCCCCGGAACTTCTGCTATGCGTATTTGTCCCGTCAACAGCCTAAAAAAAACCGTTGCCGTACAGTGCGACAACAAAGTATGAATTTGTTTTACCGTGGTGTTATTTCCCTCTCCATCGCTAGAATCATCGCTGGAATCCCCAGTGAAAGGCATGGACCTGATTTGGCTGGCTCTGCCTTTGACAGTGGCGTACACCGGCACAGGTATGTCCTGATAGCCGGCCTGTTCCGGTCCGATATCGCTGGGGGTGGTGCCCGTCAAGGTTAGACCATCTGCGGCCACCTAAAGCCATCGACCGTAACGTAACGTTTTTAATTATGCGTGTTTGATATTTTACGGGGTCGGTGGACAAATAAATTTAATTAAAAAGGGTGAAATACTGTCTTTTATTAATTTTAACATTTTTTATGAGATAAAAGTTTATTTTTATAAACACACTTCACTGGCTCTCGTCCTATTTACTAAGAAATAAAAGTCGAGTAACTTTTACGTAATCAAGATTACTGAATTACCTAAAAGTTTTTTGTTCGCTTTGGTAAAATGTTTTTTCTTGATAAAGTTTGTTTATTGGTACTTTCTTTACTTCCCCTTAATGGGTTAATATTATAATCAGTGTTTTAATTAAAAAAAACTTAGTTTTACGTAAAAAATAATTTAATTAAAACAATTCATAAATTATGTTAATAAGAACTAAAAAATATAAAACTTCTAATATTTTATTCTACAAAATTTTCGGTTTAAATTTGTAAAGAGTCATTTAAATGATATTCGATAAATTTTTAATACAAAAATTCTCACATTACATTTAAATCTTAAAGTTTTAAATTTTAAAGTGGTAATTTTTGGATTAAAAATTTATCGACAATCATTTAAATGACTCTTTACAAATTCATACCAAAACAATTTTAAATTGATACATTTTCGACATAAAATTTATAATTTTACATTTAAATGTAAGTCGATAATTTTTAATTTACGAAGTGTAAACGTAGCTTTAGCAGACGGCTCTTTCTATAGAGTAAACTGACCAGATTCTGTCAAAAAATAGCAGGACATTTTGTGTAAATTAACCTTAATTACAAAAATGACACAATCAACAATAATTAAGTAACGTCAAATTTACAATTTGCATTGTATCATTGTGTCAATTTTGTAATTAAGGTAAATTCATACAAAATGTCCCGCTAAAAAGTTTCTAAAATCTGAAAAAACACTTAAAAGATGTAATATGCATAGAAAAACTGCTGTAAAATAATATTGGAATACATATACAAAAAATAATATGACAGTTGCGGACGGTGGTTTATTTGTTTATAAAGTAGTGCCAATATATTATTATTATAGTCAGTTTATTTTTAGTACACTTAATTAAAAAAAATAAAAAAAGTAAAAACATTTTTTGTTGATTTTTTAAATCATGATTTTTCCAACCCTGATAGTCGGTGAAACGTACTAAGCGCAAAGTCTGCAGCAGTCAGCTAAAGCAGCGTTTACACGTTGTGAATTAAAAATCATTTAAATGTAATGTGAATATGTTTATGTTAAAAGTGTTTCAATTTAAATTTGTTAAAAATAAAAGTTTTTGGTTTAAATTTCTTAACAGTTATTTAAATGATAGCCGATACATTTTTAATCCAAAAATTACCACTTTAAAATTTAAAACTAACATTTAAATATAATTTGAGAATTAAATTTATTTTTTTAGAAATTTAAACCAATAATTTTGTAGAATAAAATATTAAAACTACGATTTTTAAAAACTTAAACTTTTACATTTGTATTTTATATTTAAAATATTTTTTGATTATCAATTGTTTTTAGATTTAAAAATTAAAACTTTTAAAACTACTTTGGTTGAAAATGTTTTATATGTGTTTTTATTTTAAATGTCTCGTCACTATTTTTAAATACTAAAAAATTTAACTTTACCAATTTAATCTAAATAATTTTATAAAAAATGTATTTAGGATTTACAAAATTCTACCCAAATAAATTATATAGTAGTTATATTATAGTTAAGAAATTATTTTTATTAAAAATATTTGCAAAAATTGATTGTAAATATATTGTTTAATTCAGAAGTGAACTGTTGGTAAATTTTGTCTTTCATACATGATAATTGAAAATATTTAAATATTTTAAATTAAGAATTATTTTTTAAATGTTTTCTACTACAGTTTTAGTTTTATAAGAAGACCACATATTAGACCTATCTCTTTCTCTTTTATATTATTAAAAAAAGACGACGTGCCTTTTCACGCACGCGCTATCCAAAAGTCCGTTTTATGGGATAGGTCTTTTGTTGATATCATCCCATTCATTTTTTGTAAATAACATCTCACCGGTGTTTTGTTAATAATTTTATATATAAACCACACCATTTTCAAACTAAGAAGTGACCAGTGACTGACCTGGTAAATTCGATCCTCCCAGCTGGGAAACCTGTGCAGGGGCGGCGTCGGGGCCCTCGGCCAGGGCACCTTCTCCCTGCTGGGCGTGTAAATTTCGGCGTAATCGTGCGCCAGGTCCGGATCGCTGGCGCTGCTGCTGGGCACCCTGCCGCCGATGCTCAAATTGTCGACCGCGGCTCGCAGCTCGTCGGTCAGGGGGTCCATGCTGGCCGTGCTGATGCCCAAGTTGACGCTGGTGACGAGCGTGCTGGGTATGGCGGGCTCGTAGTTGGTGGTCTGCGACAGGCACACCGACTGGTGCCGGCGGTGGCGGTGCGCCGCGGAGCGGGGGCCGCTGGAAGAAGGGGGGCCCTGGAAAAAAGAAAAATGTTGGGAAGAAGAAAATAGCTTGCCGTTTAGATAAATATAACAGAATACGAATGAATGAAATCAGATGCCTGGGCATATTAAAGCATGGCATTATGGGCTGTAGCCCAAAAAAAATCACACTGATTTAGAAATAGCATAGAAAATTACTACTTTGGATGTTTTTAACGGATTAAGGTAGTTGTCGTGGTACAATATTGTCAAAAATATTTAGATTATACGCACCGTAAAAGTATACGAGCTTGTAGCTAAGTGATTCATAATTTGTTCGCAAGACTGTACCCTGGAGACGTTACCTTCACGTAATACTTTCAAATATTTTCATAAGTTTTAATCCGGCAACGTCGCTTATGCTCAACCAATAGATATATTGAAGACTAAATCAGTCCGTTTGAATTTACTGCGGAAATAATATCTATACTGGCGTACAGCCTTGCCAAGTTGTTTTTATCTGACACTAGTGATGTATACTTTTTACAAATTGTTGAACTTTAAACAGTTATTTATAAACAATTGGACGGTCAAAAATTTTTAATTATTTTTTTTAAACTACATTAAAACACTGTTAGTTTTTTGAAAGCTTCTGACAGTTAGTTTTTTCTGTATAACTAAGAAACTGGTACAGAACTACAGAAAGCCTATACTCGTACAATCCATGTTAATTATCCAATTTTTAATTGAATTTATCTCGGGTTATAGACGGTCAATCGACTTCAAATTTTAAGGATATATGTATTGTCATGTCCTTAATAAGTATACAAAAATTTAAAATTTTCTGATGGTATGCTTACCGCATGACAACTACCTTAATGGACTTAAATAAAAACAACATATTTTAAAAACATTATTTTTATAGATTATTTAAAGTAATCGCTTTACAAAGAGGGAATGAATTGGGTCAAAGGGAAACTGTTAATGTGGGGGTACCTCAAGGCTCTGTTCTTGGACCTATCCTATTTTTGATATTTATAAATGACTTATCTAATATTAGTAACTCATCTGATCTTACACTATTTGCTGGTGATACCACAATTAAGGAGTGATTTTTCAAAAGGCCTTATTTCCATTTTTATTTGAATGTTATTTTTTGACAAAATCCCAAAGGTGTGGTTAAAAGGCATATATTAACGGAGAAATGTGACAGCAGGTCTGAAGTATTATTAAATATTCATCAGAATTTTTTTTTAAATAATCTATATTACCCTAACCTATACAGGTTATAGTCATTTTTTTGAAAAATTGTTGCAAATGGAAATACGACCTTTTGAAAAATCACTCCTCAATTGTAGTAAAAGATAGAGTTCTTGAACATTTAGAGGAGAAGAGTGAGAGAGCACTGTCGCAGGCGGAAAAATGGTTCACGTAGAACAAAATTGTTCGAAACAAAGGGAAGACACAAAGCACTATTTTTGCCTTAAGAGATCTTAATGAATTAAACAGGAAAGAACCCATTAAATTTCTTGAGTCTGCAAATTAAGATGGAACAGTCACATAGATGCACCATCAAAGAGGTTGAATACCAATATATTTATTATTCGTATAGGCTAGTGCCTATTTTTCCTTATTTCAATCGCATATTTCCAATCTAAGTGCATTAATTTAATATTAAATACATATATATTTATTTATTAATGCCCCCAAAGAGCTTTAGCCCAGGCCCTCCAAAGTCAACGGTCCGCCACTGATCAGATGGTAACACTCTTTGGGAAGAGAAACCTTAACCTTTTTTATCGTCACGAGGCAATTATAGGTAAAGCAACCTGCTCAATAAATAACCTCCCCAGACACTTAAACTTTAAACTTACTAATGAAATAAACGAAAATCCCTTAAAACACTCCGATAACTCACAGCAAAGACTCCTTGCCAAGGAACAAAAAAGACTTTAAACTTTGTCGTCTTGGTTTTAGCGGCAAACTAGCTACTGGAGGGTAAATAGAGACAAATATACAGGATGTATTTTAGATGCATGTTACGAAAAATTACCTAAATGTCTTTTAAAACAGTCCTAACACCACCTAAAAATGTCCTAAATGTCTTGGAATATTCCAAGAGCTTCAAAACTGTCTCAGGACCGTCCAAAATGTTTCAAAACTTAAATTTAAGACCGAGAACCTAAAGGGTTAGATAAAAAAACTTACGGATCTGGGTTCTGGGGAGCAGCTCTCGCTCCTCCGTCTGTCGGCTAGAGCGAGATGGTTCTTGAGAAGTTCGAGTTGCTGGTTGCACTTGATGTTCTGCTCTTTGAGCGTCTGGTTCTGCTGTTCGAGCTCCTTCAGCTTATTGGTGACCCATTCCTTGATGCGGGCCGCCTTGGCCTCGACCTGGCGCGCGTCGTGCAGCCTCAGCTGCCGTTGCTCCTCGACCTCGCCTTCTAGACGATGGATCTGCACGTTGTTCGGGTCACTTGCGACTGACCATGCCAGTTTTTGTTCCATTATTCGTACCTGGAACAACCAAATATCAGTTTTTAAAAAAGATATTAAAATTAAATTACAATTAGAGCAAACATTTGCTCGAACATTTGGGCAATAGTGCAGCTATTATTTATCTTTGTTTTCTATTTTTTATTATAAAACCACATTATTGTTTTTTGTATATTTTTGTATGTTTTTGCCCATAAATTTGTAAATTTGGATATGTATACATATTAGGTATTACATAAGTACAACACAATATTTTAATTTGTATGATTAAAAACTTGGAATTTTTTAGAGTACACTTTTGTACTCGATACTGATCTTCGGCATTTTTTATGTACATTTAGGATTTATTAATTTTTGTTTTTTTTTGTATAAATATAAATATCTTGTATGTACTAATTGAAAAATAAAGACCCATTATTATTATTATTATAATTATATTATTTATAGATTGATTGCCTTCCTTCCTTCCTTCCTCCCGTAAAAGATGAACAATACGAAAACCGTAGTGCTGTTTATAGATTACCGTACGGTTTTCATATTGTTCGTTTTTTACGGGAGGAAGGAAGGTAGGAAGGAAAGCAATCTATAAATCAGGCTTTAGTGTCTCACCTAAATAATTTTTTAATTTTTTTATTAAGCTATTAAAACGATATAAATTTTTTTAAAGTTACGAATTTAAACGGTGTGTTTAATTTTAATAGAATATTAGGTATCAAATTTGATAAACGTGCTTAATTAAATGAGTTTCTAAAAAAGTTTATAAACGAGTGAGAACTAATGTCATAAGACGTCATTTTGTCGCACGCGGACAATTTATTTTTGTAATGGACGAGTGCGACAAAAGGTCTTATGACATGAGTTCTTTACGCTATTTTATCTATTTCTATAAAAAAATTAATTTTATACCGTATATTTAACCTGGTCGAATTTTACTTTAGATAGTTGGTATCACAGTCATTGGTTTGACAGTTAATGTCAAAATCGATTCGCCATGCCGTCCTTAATTTACTTATTTACAAAAGCGGTTGTTAATGTTAAAGAAGAAAAATAGAATTTTCTTTGGTGGCAAAATTTATTGCCAGAAAAGTCTCGTAAGTACTAGAAAAATCATAAAAATATTATAACCAATATGCAAAATGTTATGCTGTTTAAAGTATAGCCAACCTATAAAATCAATTCTTTGGGTGGGATAATTATAATAAGTCATTATGAACGCAAAATAGATAATAGTATATTATGTATCAAGTTTGATAAACGCCATTTTATACACGAATTTAATTTAGGCACGAGCGAGTGCTTAAGTTAATGAGTGTATAGAAAAGTTTATAAACGAGGTGCATACTATACTTTTTATACGACAAATACGTATTATTATTAATGATTTAAATCAAAAATTTGTATAGAGCGCCATCTATAAAACAACAGGGGAAACTGTCAAATGTCACATTTTTACATTTTATAAACACAATTATAAAGGTTATAAATCGAAATGTATCTTGAAAATTGACAGTTTTTCACAGTGAAAGTAAAGGAAATGTTTTATGAGGACTTTACAGTAGAGTCCGTGCCAGAATTTAAGTTATAGTTTACTGCCGGCGAAATTAAAAGGTCAGTACAATGTTCATATAAACTTTTCAAATATTGGCGTTGAGAAACTATTTAATATTTTTGTATTTTTGTATTCAGATAATAAAATAATTTTCACATTTAGTATTATTTTACAGGAAAGGCACTTTATTTTAACGATTGTATGACATTTGACAACTGTCAACTAACTTAAAACGAACTTCAGCCCGTGACTAAAAACCTGTTGCTAACTTCAGCCCGTGACTAAAGCGCCGTAAAGCCACAACTTGTCAATGTGTATTTAAAAGGTCACTTAGTGTCATGGAAACATGTACGATAAAGGGCGTTTTAAAGGTGGGAGTAGAAAAAAGGTTTTAACTGTATTGGTACATTTTAAACCTTAAAAAAACTACTTTTTATTCCCATACCTTCCCCTATAGAAGATTCCATAGATAATTGAATATTCTACCGCAGTCACATAGTACACACATATCTTTATTGAATTTCTGCTCGAGGCATGCTAATATGTAGCATTGTTATGTTAAAATTTAACCGCTATCTAGAGACTAATAACTATAATGTCTAGACCATTTATTTTATACTCGTACACTGGATTGTGTAAATTTATACACTAATAGCATACATTATTTTTAGGAAGATTTAATTTTAAGTTTAAAAGCACAATCTCTCGAGGTTTCGTTACTTACAAACTTTATTTTCAGGTTAAAGTGGGGCAAGCAAACTTTAAAATTAAAAAAGAAACCGCATTATCTTTCTAGTGAACCCCTTAAGGCCTTGGAAAATAAATAGCTACGACACGTTTTTACATTATGTTTCTAATTCCAATTTGTCGTTAAATGTTCCAGCATTACTCAGCCAGAAATACAGTTTGTTTTTCTTTTAAAGCGCGTCTTTGCAGACCGATTTATTTGTCTCTATTAATAGACAAATAGAGAAGTGGAAGTGGCTTAGAGTGGAGACATAAAAATGAAATTTACGAGCGGGGTAGAAGACTCATTACGAACTTGTGTTTTTATTAGCGTCATCGAAAAGGTCATAAATGACTTTGCTATAAGGATATTACATGAAAAATGAGCGATTATGACCATTTGGGAACGCGTTTAGTGCCAACGTCATGGTCATTTTGTTCTTTATTTTTAAGTAGTCGCATAAAATGGTTTATAGAGTTCAAATAAGTCGTTAATGCTATTAAAAAAATATACGACGTATAAATTTTAATTTCTGTACCCCAGAGCCAATTTTTTTACAATAATAACATTAGTTTATACTATGATCACTAAACTCTAAAATCACACTTAAAATTTTTTTCATGGAAGCGTTTTCGAGGTATGAATTTTCAATTGTTTTTTTAAATTTTCTGAGGTATTTTGACGTTTAAGAGTATAATTGATCGATTTGACCAAACAAGCACTTAAATCAAAGGTAATTGAGCCCTCTACAACTTTCTCTTGTATATATAACTATAGTTTTGGTATCGGTTGAAGTTGAAGAAGTACTTTTTTTACAAAAATGAAGGCCGAAAATTTACATATCTTTCTGAGAAAGATAGAAATCGAAAAGATAAGTCCAGTTTGATTTATTTTACGTATAGATTACACTTAAAGGAAAAAAATAAGCTGCTGCTGATAAAAATCCATGGATAAATGGCGAAGTTAAAAAATAAAATAAAAATCGTCAAAAAGCTGAATTTTGGTCTTCCACTAAAAAATTCGCCATTTTTCCATGTATTTTTATCAACATTAGCTTGTTTTTTTGTAAAAATGCCAGCTTCACGAAAAAATACTTATCCGATATCAAAAGTATGTAAAATAAAGTTTTAGAGGGCTTAAATACCTTCAATTTAAGGGCTTTTTTTATCAAATCGATCAATTAGATTTCAAGCTATACTTAAAAACGTCAAAACACCTCCGAAAATTGAAAAAAAAAACAATTAAAAATTTCAAAAACGCTTCCATAAAAAAAATTGAGTGTGATTTTCGTGTTTAGTGGAAAAATTAAAATGGGATATGGTGAGCAGATTTTTTTTCGATTTTGTAAACTAGTGTAATTGAATTAAACATTGAAATTAAAATTACAATTTTAATACCAATATTTTTTGGGCCATGGTTTCAGCTCATTCTCAAATATTGCCTAAAATATTTTTGATAAATAAAAATAATGTAGTGTTTAATATATGTATCTGTGGTATAATAAACAAGATCTATCTTTTATTGGTAACTCTGCTGGTTTTTTTTAACTTACCGGTACCAAGCCTGGATTAAGGAGAATGGGTCCATTTTAATTAAATTTTGTAATCTTTGGATTGTGAGTAAATCTTGAATTTTGTTTATTTAAATTCTTTATCTGTTTTGGAAAATTATAGGTAGAAAGAGGGCCCTCACTATTTTTCTACCCATAGATCAGGGATAACTATTTTTGCGATATTGTGTACTTATATAAAACTTAAAAATAGCGAAGTCTTTTAAAAATAAATGCTTAATAACTCACATTGAAATTTTCGGGCCAATCTTATCAAACTTTAAATAAATACGTAACTTTTACATCCAAGAAAAAATGCTTTTTTTTGAAAAAATATCACTTTAAAATGACAAAGAAACTCTACGTTTTAAAAACAAAATTGCCAAACAAAACACAAAATCTGGAAAACCTTTTAAAACAACTACCAAAAAAACTAAACCATAATACCTGGAGCCATGTTGCCGATACTTTTCCACCCCAACTTTTATTTCAAGCACGCGAAACACTCAGCTACAAGCTCTCCCGGTGGCGCGTTCGAAACTAACTAACCGGTCCTATGCACTGCGACCGAAAATACTGCACGGTCGGCAGACGACGCCACATAGGCGTCCCGACGCTGCTGTCACCGGAGTTTCCTACCCCGCGCGGTCAACGATCTGACAACACTGTTGCCAATGCAATTTATCAAAAAGTTACACCAATAATAATAATACTGTCATTATTTTAAATGATGGCAAAATAACTAAACGTCCATCCTATTTAAGACGGTTTAGAACATTTTTGACAGTTTCTAAAATAACTAAAATAAACTCTTATAAAAATAAGATTTGTTAAGATTAGTTTTTAGTTTGCTAATTTTAAATTGTAAAGGAATACATTTTACCAAAAGTTTTATAAAGGTAATATTATATATATTATAAGCATTTTGTTAATGTTTAACAAATTATTTCGTTGAAAAAGTACAAGTGATTTCAGGCAGTAAATTAAAACATTTACCACTGACAATACGCATCAACAAGTTCAACTGACTTCAATAAAATATTTTTGAAAAAAATCGTAACAAGATTGTAACAACTGTCCAGAGTGGTTATAATATATTACCAGAAATCTTTTATTATTGTTTTTCGGTTTTCTTATACCTTAGTGGGTTAAAGTTACGAAATACATTAATAAGTGTTGTAGAAGTACTGATAATT